GCTGTTTCTACGCACCGACACCTCTTTGCTGCCGTTCCACATCCTCGTCTACGTTGACGACTTGGTCTTTGCTACTGATGACACTGCTGGACTCGTCCACGTGAAGTCGGAGCTGCAGAAGAGACACTCGTGCACAGACCTGGGTGAACTGCGCTTGAGGGCGGGGTCCAGTGGTCCTCACTGGTCACGCAGACGCTTCTTGGGCGGATGACCAGGCTACGCAGCGGTCGTCACAGGGTTACACCTTCAGTCTTGGTTCCGGCTCTGTCTCGTGGCGGTCTACCCGCTCTTCTTTTGTTCTCGGCTCCAGCTGTGAGGCTAAGATCTACGCAGGGGCCATGGCTGCACAGGAGTTACGCTGGCTCACCTACCTGCTGACCGACCTAGGAGAGTCGCCTCGTTCTCCTCCAGTGCTGTACGTAGACAACAAGGCCATGTTGTCCTTGTGTCGGGAGCACAGACTGGAGCACAGAACGAAGCACATTGCTCTTCGCTACTTCCTTGCTCGTGAGCTGCAGCAGCGTGGTCAGCTGCGCCTTGCTTACGTGGCCTCTCAGGCCAACAATGCTGATATCTTTACCAAGGCACTTCAACGTTGTGATTATCCGCGCTTTTGTACGATGCTAGGTCTTGTGCCTACTTGGCTCACTTGCTCACTTCTTGACCTTGCTCGTACTGTGATCTATATATACCTGCACTTGCTTTTTTACCTTTATATATAATCCTACATGTGAACTGGCCTTGTGGCCTTGAACTGGTGCTGAGAATGTGTGGTGACATTGTGATCCACTGTAAGCTTGCTTTGCTTGACTGGTCTTGTGACCCCTTGTTCTCCCCCACTTTGCCTATGGGGGTGTATCAGATATATATGACATAGTGTTTGTAGGCTCTAGCGGGGTAGACATTAAGGGGTACAGGTTTCTAGGGTTTCATATTTGTATCGCACACTTTCCTAGTTCAACTCATTCCTCATTATTTTACATCATGTGCCAACTAGATCGACATCAACTTCTTCTTGACACACCCATGAATGCGGCCTTACTGTTATGATGGCTCTGGAAGGGCGTAAAGGAAAATGTGTCCATGACAAATCCACCAATGCTTCCGCAGCGAGGTGGGTGGGAGAGATAATGATGATAATTGAATATATGGGTGGAAGATACCCTGTCTGTGAGGCGGATCGGTTTCCTCGTCGATAATCGGCAGATGATTCCAGAAACATGTTTGTCGCAGCAATCCGCCCGCTGACATTTTTTAATGCACAAACCCACTTGAAGGCAATTTAATCGTGTCCAGTGCATTGGGTGCTTCAGTTATGTAAAAAAAAACGCTTATATATCTTTGCCATATAATATTTACACGATTATAATATGCTATATTAGAAGCGCAAGTGCGCTTATATCCGGGGCACCATAGTACCTTCGGGAGTACAAGCAATTACCAAATAACAATTCAGGCTATTCCAACATTATTTACACTCACCAAGAGACTACTTAAAACTTTCAAATATCTGATTTACATGGGTCACTTGTCTTAACACTCCAAATGCTAGTTTGCAAGATTGCATGGAAGTTAATGTCAAACTGTTATGTTGTGTGTGTTGTGTAGGCTGTAGTGGGTTAGCCCATACGGGGTACAACCCTATTAGGGTTAGTACTAGTACCACATTTCTATTCAACACAATCATTCTCGCTTAGTGTTCTGATATGGTTTCAGAGCAGGTCTTGTTCCAGGACCGATTTTTTTTTTCTAGGGCCCACCGATTCGTTAGCTGTCGGTAGCGCCCTACCCCATTAGTCGCCCTGCCCTGCCCTGCCCTGACAATCGCACAGCCCTGCTGGCCGCACGCTGCCTGTCGCGCTGCCCTGCTGGCAGAGCGCTGCACTGCCCTGCACGCGCGCCGTGGTCTACTGCCCGTGCGCCGCCCTGCAGCCTGCACGCCGTCCTTTGCAGCCCGCGCTCCGCCCTTTGCAGCCCGCGCGCCGTCCTCTGCGGCCCGCGCGCCGCCCTTCCCTACCGCGCGCTGCCCTTCCCTGCCGGACGCCGCCCTCCCTTGCAGTGCGTCGCTCTACAGGCCGCCGTGCCGCCCTACACGGCCCACACGCCGCCCTTTGTGCCATGCGCCGCCCTTCCCTGCCGCGCGCCGCCCTTCCTGCCCGCGCGTCGCCCTTCTCTTTCGCGCGCCGCCCTTCCCTGCCGCGCGCCGCCCTTCGCTGCCGTGCGCCGCCCTTTTGGCCGCCACGCCGCCCAGGCAGGAGGACTTTGAGTGTCTTGCAGCTGCTGTAGCTCATCTCGTGTCCATGCTGCTTGCACCTGAGGGAGATCCGGATGCACTAGACATCCACTATCTAGCATCCAAGATGACGCTTTAGCTTGTGACGATCTCACCGTTGCAATGCACGTAACAGTACGTTGCTTGTCTTCCCCGGCTGCCCCTTGCTGTTTTGACGCATTATTGTCACGCTTGGGGCTGCGACTCCTTCGTTGGGAGGACGAACGGCTGTCGCTGGTGTGCAGTTTTCCTTTTCTGGTATGCGGTTCCCACCCTAGTGGTGACCAGCCAGGGGGTGCCTTAGTACACTTGAAGAAGAGGTGGCGGACCTCCTTGCAGTACCAACACACAAGAGGTGAGCGACCCGCACTTCCTTCCTTGCCTTGCATTTTCTCCCCAATGGACCCATCCTGGCTATTGCCCTTAGCATTTGGAGAAGGTGAGCGGTCTCCACGTGCTTGTCCAACCATGCGAGGTGGATGCCGGTCACTGTTATCCTTCGTGATGAGGTCGTGATACCTCTGCTCTTGAATCATCATCCGCTGGAAGGTGAAGCTGTCCGTCACGTTGTGTAGCATTGCCGAGTGCCTCATCTCCTCCGAATGCGCCGGTAGTCCGGTGAGCAGATTTAAGGTGAATGTGTCCTCATCCACGATCTTCCCCGCGAGTGCTAACTTGTCCCGGATTGCCGTTGCGCGGTTCACGTACTCCTCCACCCTTTCCGCGTTCCCCATTTTCAGGTTGTCCAACTGCTTCATGAGAGAGACCTTCGCCACCGAATCTTTGGCCTGGTAAGTGTCCATTAAGTACTCCCATGCTTCATATGCCAGGCTGTAGGATTCCTGAAACATGTCCAGCTGTAGCTCAATCGTGGCGCTCACGCTGTGCAGTAGGACCCAAAAAGCGAGCACCGCACGCTGTGAGTAATCCGCCTGTAACATTTCCAACCGCTCCATAGCGTCGTTAATGTCACCATCTCCCATGGTAACCGGATACTGCAGGGTCACAAAGAACTCCCACGGATTCGTGACGCGAGCATTCATACGAAACCGTAGCGCACACTCCCGGAAGTTTGAGCCATCAAACGGAGTAGTGGTGAACGCTTTGTCTACCGTTGCTCCCACCATTTTGCGTGACAGCCGTTCCTTGTCTTCTCCGGGTATTCACGTGGAGCGGGGTCGAAGAGAGTAGGCACGGTTGACGGTCGAGGTAGCTCTACCGTGCGCCGCATATCCCCATTCTGTCCACCAAGTTGACGTTCCAGCACTTCCACTTGATCCCGTCGCATGACACCACTTGACTGCATTCCGTATCCCATCCACCCCATGCTGTGCACATAGTGTGCGCCAATCGGTGGACGTGGTACGCGCGGAGGTACGACGTTGCCTCCATGAAGGTGAGACTTGGGCATGGGAAGAACTCTAATGGAATGGGAGTTACTCGCAAGTCGTCGTAGTGGGGGAGCACCAATAGTGTAGGAGGCAAATCCCACACCTTCCGCGCCCATTTCACCATTTCCGTCACCCTGCTGCCCAATCTGTCTACTTCTCATTCCACCATGTACTGCACTTCCATACTCATCATTCCTCCCCCGTGCTTCCCTTTGCATGGATGATTGAGGTGCGGGATTGGCCTTCTCCTCTCCTTGGACGGATGCATCCCTCCCTTGGGATGACTCTCCTCCTTGAGGTATGCCCATTTCCCCTTCACCATCAATTCCTGCATGAACATTTGCATGAGTTTGGTTAGTACGCGGAGTGCTTGAATGAGAGTGTCCGCGGGTGGACGGATTGCTGGACTCATGAGAGAACATTGTCCTTGGTTGGATTGTCATTCCAAACCTGTCCCTTAATGAAACTTGGAGTGTTGATGGTGCCCTTGCAATCATGCTCTCCAGGTGCTCGTGCTGAGCCAAGATGGCTTCCTCGAAAGCTGCATATCCAGCATCCACTTCGCCATCGAATTGCGGCATGACCTTGACAAAACTGTCCACCAAGTGTGCGATAAACGCGCAGTTGTAACCAACAGCGAACACCGGGTGTACGAAAGCGTAGACCGGGTGTGCGGTACCCTGACTGTATGCAGGTACCTTTCCAAACTTGATGCCAGTAAAATTCCTCAACCAGTTTTGGCAGCATGCCCCCTAGAGTAGCTTTGATACCATGCTAGAAAGACATAGTGCCAGCGTAGCGGAAACGTGTTTGTAGAAAAGAACAAGATAGGAATCTTGCATTGATCTTTGAAAAGTAGAACGATAACCCAATGAGTACTCAAAGATTACTCAATGATCCAATGATGTTGAAGAAGTGACAGAGCAGGGTATATACAGTATGCATCCAGCTACCCCTAAAGAATGACCCATTCACACCAATAATGGTGTACCAATGATTGTACCCTCTACCCTCCAATAATGCTAGGCTCCAATAATTGTGGCCCTACAATAATTGTCACACGATTATTGTAGGACCTGGAAGCTTATAAAATCACTACACCAAAACCAAATAGCACACTGATATAAAGAGCACACCACAAGCGCGGCCAAAACAACAGCTCCACACCCTAAGCAGAATCCAGTCCCATTAATTAAAAATGTCAGACCTTGTCTATAACACCCTTACTGAACTGCCATGTTTCTTTTCTGGTTTGTTGTCATTTTATCAGGCCTCTCTGAAGTGTGTACCCCGACTATCCTATCTGAAACAAAACTGCTCCGTGAAAGACCTCACTATCAACCCCAGTTGCTGCAGCACGCACCCCTAGAACTCCCATCATCAGGAAGGTTCAGCTTCTTCCCGGCCGATAGGTTAAGCTTCCCATTCTCCTCATCTACCAAGACAGGTCGCACACATGTGGAAGGAGAGGAGCGTGGGAGGGAAGGACAGAGTTAGAGCAGGGTTGTGAAACAACCTTTAGCCAAGCTGAGCTGAAACATATTCACAACTAGACGCAGTCAGTGGTGCCACCTACCATGAGAAGGAAGGCGTTTGCTGACGTGGTTGTAAATTTCAGCAATGACTGTCTCAAACGCCTCGTCTACATTAGTGGCGTCAAGGGCGGATGTCTCCATAAAGAACATGCCCTCCCGCTCAGCCAGCTCCAAGCCCTTCTCAGTAGGTACAGCACGCAAATGAGCGAGATCCGTCTTGTTGCCCACCAGCATGACCACCAGGTTGTTGTCCCCTTGGCCTGTTTGTGGGGAATGTTGGCAGCCGTGGTTCAACAAGGTTTGAAACCTGCATCTCCAGAAGATCCAACCCATCTACAAATTTGACAGGTACACGATGAAATTGTTCTGCTTTCGCTTTCCAGAGTTCACTTGTCGCGAGGAAAGACTTTATTCGAGGAGCGCATAGCAACGTGAGCCGAGGAACCACTGAAGAAATGACAACAAGGTTTCCCGAGGGACTGTTCTCCCAGCTGCTCCTGTACCATTTCGTATGCTTTGTAACGGGTTGGCAGCTCATAACAAGATGGCCCAAAGACTCGCGTCCACTTCCCTCCATTCCCAGACTTAAACGAACTATTATGACTCACAATGTGCGGCGGATCGATCTTCGCAAATAAAATAAAATAAAGAAAAGAGGAACAATGCAAAAACATTTCAGAAAATTGTCGCACTCACTTCGAACTTCTCGGAGCCATTGCGAAATGTTGTCGAAGCTGCTACGCCGGCTGATATCGTACACCAGCAGCGCGCCGAGCGCTCCGCGGTAATACACGCTGGTCACCGCTCGATACCTCTCCTGCCCTGACGTATCCCAAATTTGGGCTTTTATCTCCTTGTTGTCGATTTCCATTGTCTTAGAACGGAACTCCACGCCGATAGTGGCCTTTGAATCTCCGTGAAACTCATTGTGGGCAAAACGGGATGCCAAATTTGTCTTGCCCACACCAGAGTCACCAATCAGGACCAGCTTAAAGAGGTAACTGTCTGCTGCTTGGCCGTCTGCAACCGAAGGGCCTGGCATATTGGCCTACCACGACTGATAGGCAGACAGCCTTCTTAAGAGCTCTTCTGATGCAAGCTAAGGTGAAACCTCGGTTATTCAAGAGATAGTTGGCCTGGAAACAGATACGATACAATGAGTGAGGATGGCTGGTATACTTCAGGAGAAGAGAAAATAACGAAAATGAGCGCTCGAGAATGCGATTACAGGAGCAGCATGAAAAACGACAAAGAGGAGATGGGATAAGAACGAAAACGCTACTCACTTTGACAAAACAGCTGAGGCACTATCCACACCGCCAACAACCTAATCGCTCAGTCTTGTGTCCCAACCGGGATGTGAGCAGCGACCTGCTGAACAGCTATTATGTTCACAATGATCTAACCAGACAGTCAAGGCCAGACGGTTTCTACAAAAAGCGATTGCGGAGGAAGTGATAATCCTCATCACTAGGGGCAAGATGGTATGGGTTGGGATGTGAAATGGGAGAACGAAGCGGGGGTGCTACTGTGAGGTGCTGTGAGGTGTTAGTTGGGTGATGGGAAAAAAGGGGAGCAGGGGAGGGGGGGGGAATGGGGGGGGAGAACGGCGAGCAGTTGATGGTGGTTGGATGGTTGGGCTGATTGGGGAGGTGGCGGAGGGAAGGATGGACCAAAGAATCTACAGTACAAGCAAGGGCGGGGCGGGGGAAATGGAGGGCGGAGTTTGACTAGCAGAAAGGTGTAACACGACGGGGCGCACTGCTGACCGTCGATCCTGGCCGGTAAGGGACTGGGTCCGTCAAAGACCCATCGTAATCGCATCAGTCATCCCTAGGACCACGGGATACTAACCATTGGTTGGGATATATCTCCGTCTAGCTCACTGTCGGATTCAACTCGTGTGTGCGGTAAATTGGTTGCACTCGTGCTTTAATCTCTCCAGGATGAACCGTTTTCTGTTATAAGCTATACTTCATATACCAGCTATAATCAGTTAGGTCAATCACCCTGACCACAACGTCAGGGACCTACTTTAAAGCAGCCAGGGGGGAATGCTACAGCCAGGGGGGCAGCCGGGGGTGACCGGAGCACCCCGGGGAGTGCTACAGCCAGGGGGGCAGCCGGGGGTGACAGGAGCACATCAGGGAGCGCTACAGCCAGGGGAGCAGCTGGGGGCGATTGGAGCACCCCAGAGAGAGCAGCAGCCAGGGGGGCAGCCGGGGGTGACCGGAGCACCCCTGGGAGTGCTACAGCCAGGGGGGCGGCCGGGGGTGACCGGAGCACCCCGGGGAGTGCTACGGCCAGGGGGGCAACCGGGGGTGACCGGAGCACCCCTGGGAGTGCTACAGCCAGGGGAGCAGCTGGGGGTGACCGGAGCACCCCTGGGAGTGCTACAGCCAGGGGGGCAGCCGGGGGTGATCGGAGCACCCCTGGGAGTGCTACAGCCAGGGGGGGCAGCCGGGGGTGACCGGAGCACCCCTGGGAGTGCTACAGCCAGGGGGGCAGCCGGGGGTGATCGGAGCACCCCTGGGAGTGCTACAGCCATGGGGGCAGCCGGGGGTGACAGGAGCACACCAGGGAGCGCTACAGCCAAGGGAGCAGCTGGGGGCGATCGGAGCACCCCAGAGAGAGCAGCAGCCAGGGGGGCAGCCGGGGGTGACTGGAGCACCCCTGGGAGTGCAACAGCCAGGGGGGCAGCCGGGGGTGACCGGAGCACCCCTGGGAGTGCTACAGCCAGGGGGGCAGCCGGGGGTGACCGGAGCACAGGGCCTATGTTTGGTTTTTGGCTACTCACGATTAGCAGTGTAGCATTTTTGAAAACCCTTATGATCAGTGCGTACTTTTTCGTTACACTGATGCATAAGTGTAACATTGATTTTCAAAAAAATTACCCCAGAGCATCAGTGTAGAATTTTTGTGTACACTTATCGCAAATTTAGATTACTAATCGTTATAAAAATCGGGAAACAATATTCTACTTATACAGCAGACAATCACATGAATGAACGCTCATCCTCGCTACCATCAGACGACTCCTCTCTTTCCTTTCCTTTTCCATAGCACGACTTGTGAGGGGCAGGTGTTTTTGCGGGTCTTCTTTTTTTTTGCTTCCGCCAGATATCCACCACCTCGGGCCATTTGTACTCATAGCTCAACATGTTCACGGTCATCAGTTCGGATAGCCGGGCGTCACCAAGCGACGTTCGCAACCAGCTTTTGATCACGTTTTGGCGGCTGAATCCGCGCTCGCACTCCACGGTACTTAGCGGAATTACTGCCAGCGCCTGCCACATGGACGTCAGGTTGGGAAAACTGCGCGGCCAATCCTTGGTCCTCAGCATTTTGTTAAGTCCCTGGTAGAAGTCATCGTCCTGGTAGTGGCGAGACATGACGTGGCAGAAGCTGGCCAGCTCGAGCTCTGCCGCTCGGTGGTTGAAGCCTGCCACGTGTGTTGGAGGGACATTATTTTGTGAGGTGAAAGGTCGAAACAAAACAAAACAAAACAAAACAAAAAACGCGTGGATAATTACCTGGCAGCCGGTTGTTGAAGAGCCGCGCATTGGCATCCAGCCAACTCAGCACCCGACGATCCCGCTTATCTGTCGCTTCTGGCCACGTTTCAACTTTGTAAAGCTTGCTGCCATCCATTTGCTTCAAGCTCCACATTCGAGTGTGCATGTTTGTCGCCACCTCCAATGCGAACGCTTTGCACAACTTGATGCAGTCGGCCATCGAGCCGCCGTATTGGTGTCCTGCTATTGGTGCCTCGCTCAGCACGATCTGATGTGAAGATGGCTCACCATCCGCATCCGTGCCGTCCACGCGGATAGTTCGCCTGCCGCTGCCAAGGCGTGCGATGAATGGCGACAGCAGCTTGCTGACCCCCCCTCCGAAAATGTCCACGTAATCCACGTATCGAAGTCTGATGACTCCAATCGTGCGATCCACCTCTTGGTGCACGAGCGTGATGTCAACCTGAACCAGAGACGGGCACATGAACAACATGTAAAAATGTTAGTGTATAATTAAATGACACGACTAGAAGAAAAACATGCACAGTGAATCAACACTTACTTTTTTGCGCTGGAAAAATTTGTTGAGTGCGTTTATCTCTGCCAGCAGATCCGCCAAGAAGTAGACGCAGAAGTGAAACTTGAGGGGGCAGTAAGTGCTACAGCCAGGGGGGCAGCCGGGGGTGACCGGAGCACCCCAGGGAGTGTTACAGCCAGGGGGGCAGCCAGGGGTGACCGGAGTACCCCTGGGAGTGCTACAGCCAGGGGAGCAGCTGGGGGTGACCGGAGCACCCCTGGGAGTGCTACAGCCAGGGGGGCAGCCGGGGGTGACCGGAGCACCCCAAGAATTGCTACTGCCAAGGGGGCAGCCGGGGTTGATCGGAGCACCCCTGGGAGTGCTACAGCCAGGGGGGCAGTCGGGGGTGACAGGAGCACCCCAAGGAGCGCTACAGCCAGGGGAGCAGCTGGGGGCGATTGGAGCACCCCAGAGAGAGCAGCAGCCAGGGGGGCAGCCGGGGGTGACCGGAGCACCCCTGGGAGTGCTACAGCCAGGGGGGCAGCCGGGGGTGACTGGAGCACCCCAGGGAGTGCTACAGCCAGGGGGGCAGCCGGGGGCGACCGGAGCACCCCTGGGAGTGCTACAGCCAGGGGGGCAGCCGGGGGTGACCGGAGCACCCCAGATAGAGCAGCAGCCAGGGGGGCAGTCATTGGACGACCGGGAGCAGCAGTTGGAGGAGTGGTGCCGACTTTTGGAGTTTGATACCCCCATGGCGACTGCGGAGGAGTCGGAGGCGGACAAAGAACCTCCCATGCAGCCTTCCACATGCCCTCGTTTTCCGTGTGACACGTGTTTTCACACGTTCGCTACGCGAGGGGCTGCTGCGAACCACATGAGGGTATGCCGGGCGGCTGAGGCGGAGAGGCGCGCGCAGGCACTTGGCTCGACCCCGTCACTGGTGGAGACCGACACGCAGGAGCGACCGACGCCGCGGGAATTTGGGGACGAGGCGTGGGCCGGGGTTACGTCTTGGAAATGGGAAGCATTTTTCAGTGTGGAGGCGGTTGGAGGGAGGACAGTGCGCCGGATCCCACAACGGGCTCGGTCGGGGGTCTTAGACGCGCTCTGTTGCGTCTTAAAGCGTTTGAAGAGCCGGCCGGGGGATGAAGCCGCTACCCTCCTACTCTTGGCTTTTCCGCGCCTCATCCTAGCCGTGCCTCCCAAGCCAGGCATAGGACAGAAGGCGCTGATCATAGAGCGGTTGGGGGCGTTTTGGGAGGGGAGGTGGCGGGAGTTGTTCGACTCCGCCATGGTGGCGGCGCGGCCAGCAGTACGCCCACTTGCCTACACTTGCTCTGACCAGGACCTTGATGCCATCCGCCTGTCACGGTGCCAATCTCGGTGTAAAGTGGGAGAGTGGAGCCGCGAATTGGCTTGCCTTACGACAGGGGAGTTGGCCCGGCCGTCTGAGGCCATGGTGCAGTCGCTGCGAGAGAAGCACCCTGCTGGCACTAGCGAGGTACCACAGTGGGTCCGTGATTTCACCGTCGATGCTCCTCAGCGGCCTCCACTCACGGCCGACATCCTGGCCAGAACTATCCATACAGCCGCTCGCGCTTCAGCAGCAGGGCCATCGGGGTGGGTCACGGAGCATCTGCGCGACACCTTCCTCACTGAACCTTCCTGCCTTTCCCACCTGTTGGAGGTGTTCAACCAATGGGTGGCGGGACAGGTCCCCGAGCGGGCTCGGCCCTGGCTCGCCGCATCCAACCTAGTTGGGCTTTCCAAGCCTAACGGCGACGTCCGGCCAGTCGCGATTGGGGAAGTGCTTCCGCGTATCCTTGCTCGAGCTCTCTGCATCTCGCTCCGCCCTACGATGGCTTCCTACTTTCTGCCGTGCAACCAGCTGGGAGCGGGCACCAGGGCCGGGGTAGAGATTCTTACCCATTCTTTCCGGTCAGCGCTGGCTACTCACCCCGACTAGTGTGCGCTGCAGATAGATGTCGCGAACGCCTTCAATTCGTTTCACCGTCATGCGATGTTTGAGGGGCTGCGGGAGTCGCCTTTCTCAGGGTTGATCCCATTCTTACGTGTTTTCTACGGGACACCTAGCGATCTGTACCTCCGAGCGGGCCCTTTTGTACAGAGCCTTGAGTCGGCACGAGGATCGCGGCAGGGGGACCCGCTCGGCCCTTTTCTTTTCGCGTTCACGCAGCAGCAGGTGATGGAGTCGGTGACTAGAGAGTTCAGGGACCTACTTTTCCTGAGCTACGCAGACGATACCTATATCCTGGGACCGGCGGCTAGGATTCTAGAGGCGTTTGGGGTGCTGCGGGAGCGGTTGGAATGGGTGGGGCTGGAGGTGCAGGCGCACAAGTGCCGGTTTTGGGAGCGCGAGGGCGGGGATGTGGAGCGGGCACTGCCATTGGGGATGCAGCGGGTGGAGGAGGGTCTCACTGTGGTGGGCGTGCCTATTGGGGAGGAGGGTTGGGAGGTGACCCGGTTACGGGAGCGGCTTAGACAGTTGCAGGCGCCATTGCCATGGCTCCTTCTGCTCGACCACCCCCAGATGGCTTCACATCTCCTCGCCATTGCAGTTTCAGCACGGCCGATGTACCTGGCCCGGACTATGCCGCCGCGTCCGGAGGTGGTGGAGGCCTTCAGGGATTGGGATAGCTGTGTGGAGGATTGCTTTGAGTAGCTTTTCCCACCTGGCACTTGGGAGCATGACCCCGACCGGTCTAGGCGCGCGCGCATGCAGCTGCATCTCCCTGTGCGACTCGGAGGGTTGGGATCCGGGTAGCAGCCTCTTTGAGTCCGCTGTCCTATGTTTGTGGGTGGGCGCAGGCCGCGCGTGATATTGCACAGTTGGGGGTGGCGGGCGAGGAGGCGATGTTTGCGGAGTACCTCACCACTTCGGCAGGGGCGGAGTTTCTTGACCCGTGGTTTGCCAAGGCTCTTGAGCAGCTGCCTGCGACTATACGCCAGGAGATGCCGGGCTTACCTCTGTGCGTAGCGGCCCCTCCTCTTCGGCTTTTCCAGGCGCGGCAGCGGTTGTTTGCGGTATAGGAGCTGCAGACACTGCGTCGCTCGGCTCGTGACGATGCCACCCTGGCCCGTTTCACATCCCTTCAGGGCCCGGGGGCTGGTGCATGGGTTTCGGCGGTTCCGGCTCACTCAGATCTCACATTCACTGCGGCGGAGTGGGGCATTGCTGCTGCTATACGGCTCGGGCTCCCAATTCAGCAGCTGCAGGTGACGGGGAGGTGTGTTTGTGGCACAGCATATGTTGACCCAGCAGACCCGCATCATGCCCTGAGATGCAAGCACCAGCATGGTCCATCTCGGGTACATGATGAGGTGAAGTTTGCGGTGGCGAAGATCTCTAAGGCGTCTGGGGGGGTGGTGACAATGGAGGATAGTGTGGTGCTGCAGGGGAAGCGGGTTGATGTGGCGGTGCGACGACCAATGGCTGGAGAGGCTCATGCCCTGGAGATCAGCGTCGCGGACCCGCTATCGCTGTCTCCATCTTTGCTAGGACAGTGCGGGCGTCAAATAGGCGTGGCGGCAAGAGAATGGGAGCGTCGTAAAACGAGCGATTACGCGCCTCTGCTTGCACGCAACCGGGGCGTGCAGTTCACTCCTCTGATAGTGGAGACGTGGGGGTGTCTCGGCGGTCGCTTTCGGAGGTGGCTTCGTCAGCAGGGAGATGCGCACGTGGGGCTAGCTGTGTCGCGGGGGGCTTGTCGGGAGGACGACACTGTGTTTTCGGCTTATCTTCTAGGGTCACTGAAGGCGCTCATCGTGGTGGCGTTGCAACGTGCGCAAGCCCGTGTCATCCTGCTTCGAGCGGCGTCTTCTATGGGGGGGATTAACGTTGACTTGGTGGACCGGGAGTAGGACGATGGCGATGCGGAAGGCGGGGCTCTCAGGGTGGAGGCCCCATACATGGTGGATTCGCTGTTGTGATTGGGGGGGGGGGAATGGGGTGTGGGATGGGATGTCTTGACAGGGTGTCTTGACTGGGCGTTTTGATTGGGTAACTTGAGGGGGGGTTTTACGTGTGTTGCATTTGGGTTCTTCTTGGCGGTTTCACTTTCCTTCTCCCTTTCTCTTTTCTTTTCTTTTCTTCTTCATTTATGTCTTTCTTTACCTTACCTTTGACTAAAGTACGGTCTAGGAGCTACTGTTCTAGAACCTTATCGCCTTACACACGTGGTCAAACTCCGAAAACTGGTTCTCCACACAGTTTTCTGGTTAGATCACTCTTCGCACGACCTCGTTCTTCGTTGTAGATGCGGGAATTGTGCTCCTCTCGCCTGTAACCGACGTATTCACAACGTGGCACAGAGCGGATATACAACATATGATAGATATATTATCATTTTTCAACAGGAGCAGGACAAATTGTTTTCCTGCAAACACAATGATACAATGGTAAATTTTGTGCACACGCTATGTAGGAGGCGCCTGGACTAGCAGTTTTCACTTTTGTTGACACTTCGTTACCTCATATCGAATTACGGCAAGATGAATACCTGTGGGAGCATCCCGCGTCGACTGCCTCACGGGCTTCAGGCCCTGGCTTTTGGATCCACTCTGTCATGACGGCAGGACAGGGATAAACGCAGGGCATTTTGTGAACACGACAACGCGGGGCCGCGCTGATCAAAGACACCGAGGGGACTTTCTAGATGCATTCGCGATTCGGGCAACTGATTCTGGTTATGAAAAGGGCGAGTAACGCAGGAGCCAGTGGGAACAGACGAGGTCTGGGGAAGGTGGCTGAAGGGTTTGGGAGGGGAGAGGGGTGAGCAGGAGCAAGTAACGCAGAGCACACGCCGAGACGACGCCAGAGACGCGAGAGACTCACCAGTCGCGTCAGGCACATCAGCATGGCGTCGACGTCTCAGCGACGGCGATCTGTACTGCTCGTACGCCAGGCCACGTCCCTTCTCGTCGCTCGAAACTTCCCAGATCAGATCACTCGATTTTATACACGTGGCGTATTTGGTTTGGCAAGAGATGGCCGGCCGCATCGTGTCTCGAGAGAATCCTCACCTTCACTGCTTATCAGCGCGGCAATCTCGAGGTTCCGCCTCGTGCCTCGTCTCCGCCAAGCGCATTCCCTCACCTGGTCCTCCCTACTCGCCACACAACCACCTTCGGCAATTCCGAGGAACGCCCCTGCCACGTGGCAGCTTCCAACACGGGTACGGATTCCCCACCACCGTCTCAATGCTCTTCAGCACAATTGCTCTACCAGCACCTTATTCCAGCCGCCACACCCCTATGCGTGCCATTACCTGGCCTGTCTTTCCCTTCTCCCGACCCTCAGATTGCGTCAGCGTCAGCATCATGCTCACGAACGATAGCATCCGCAGTAGCTGCAGAACCCGCCCCCGCCTCCTCACCAACCGCTTATCCTTCCAAATTCGTCTCACGTAACTCGACCCTGCTCCCTAGCACGGCTCCCCTGTCACAAGGTAACCTCCTCCTTCCTTGGCTCTCCCCACCCCCTCCCCTCCCCCCCCCCCCCTCTCCCCTCCCCCCCCCCCCCTCTTCCCTCTCCCCACCCCCCCCTTCCCCAACCCCTGCCGCTCTAGCTTCTACTGGTGTCTACAATCGCTCCCCTCTTTGGACGTGCTTATGCTGCCTCGGATCCGTCCTTCAACTCTCTGCTTCGCTCCCCTCACCCTGATCCGCCCCCTCCTATATATCGGTCTTCTTCCCCCCCTTCTCCCTCTCTCGCCTCCGTCCTCTCCCCTCGTTTCCTCCTCTCGCATTTCTCTCTTCAACCCCCCTCCGCCCTCGGTTCCCCCCCCACTTCTCTCTACCCCCAACACCCAACCATCCTATCTGCCATCCTGCCGTCTCTCCGTGCCTCCCTTGCGCCATCCCTCCGTGCCTCACTCTGTCTCCCTCGCCCTCTCCCACATACTCCCCCAACCCACCCCAGCACGTGTCACGTCGCTACCTTCCTCATCTCTGGTTGACGCCCTGTGCTCCGCTCTGGCCAGTGCACGCAGCCCACAAGGCATGGCGCAAGGCAGAGCACAAGGAAACGGAGGGGAAAGGGCGGTGAGGGAGGGTGGAGGGCAGGCAGTGGGTCTGCTGCTGGAGGAGCTCGAGAGACGCGTGCAGACGGGGGTGGGGAGCGGTGTGGAGGGGTTGGGGCTGGTAAGAGTGCGGTTGGAGGAGCAGCAGAGCAGGTCGAGCGTTCCAAGTGAAAGAGGCTTGATGAGTGAGCGAGGAGGCGAAGGGAGGAGGGCGGGAGGGCAGGGAGTGGACGAAGCAGCAGGTGGGCACGAGAAGAGCGAAAGGAGGGAAAGGAGGGAGTGGGGGCAGCTTTGTGCACGAGTGCTGCGAGCAGCAGCGATGGCAGGCAACGCAGACGTGGGGCAGCGTGTGATGCATGCGATGCTGTCAGGCGGTGTGCCCGTTGCGGTGGGCGCCCAGATCTCGTTCCTCCGCGCCTTGTGCAACGCCGGCAGGATGCATGAGGTAAGCACGCACACAGTTGACTGCGCGCGTGCGAGAGTTGGTGCTCAGATCAAGTGGGGGGGTTTCGTGGATCAGGGTTCTTCAAGTGGAGCAGCACTTGAATGAGCCGTTAGGGTGCATGATGTAACAGCAAAGGTCTCCGTGATAGATGCTAGACCTTCACTTCACCTCTCTTCTAGTCCGTCCTTGCTCCTTCTGTCACTTCTGCATTCCTGCTTCCCGCTTCCATCACAAGTGGTTCGTATCGAGGGTCATGAACAGCCGTCAACGTTGATATCCTGCGTATCTGTTCACCTGTGTGTCTGCCCTCATTCAGGCCTTGAACTGGCTTGAGATGCGCGTGCAGCAGAGGCAGCAGCAGGGCGGCAGCAGCAGAAGGCTGATCACCGCAGGGAGGAGAGGCCAGGCGCAGCACTCCCACCATCATCGCTCAACAGCATCATCATCACCATTTTCACCACCACCATCACCACCACCACCACCACTATCAGCATCACTGCCAGCATCAGCCTCGGCATCAGCTGCACCATCAGCCGTGTGTGCGGCGCTGTGTGCGGGGGTGTTCAACGTGGTGCTGACGGCGTGTGCGCGGGGCAGGGACAGCCGCAGTGCAGCGCGCTGTGTGCTGCTCATGGAGCAATGCGCCGTGCCCTGCGATGCCATCTCCTACACCGAGCTCATCAAGGTCAGCCTTGCCCTTATCAACATATGCTTGCATATCCATCCCCGCAAACCTCCTCCCTCTCCAACGCCCCCTCGCTCCCGTGCCCCCCCACCCCACAGTCTTTCCTCCCTTCCTGGTCTGTTTTTGGGCGTCTAAAAGGTAGACCTCTATCTCGCTCTCCTCCTCCTAGTTCTCTCTTAACCCCCGTCCCTTTTCGTATGCTTTTCCTGTGTATGGCCCTCCCTCCGCCTCTGTGTGCTGGTGTGGCAGCTGGCAGGGCTAGTGGGGGACCGAGAGGCGGTTGAGGACCTTTGGAAGCAGCTACTGCACGCCATGGCTGCTGCACACCCACATGCTCCTCCTCCCCCCCCCTCACCACCCACACACTCACCCCGTCAACCTCCCAGCAGTCCATCTTCCACACTCTCGCCAGAACCCTCACCCACCAGCACCACCACCTCCTCCTCCCCATCAGCCCAGCACCCCCATCCCTACCCATCGTCCCCTTCACCCCCGTCCTCCCCTCCCGCTCCCCCGCCACTCCCCCTTGTGGCCTTGACTGCACGTGTGGTGGCGTTCTCCCGCATAACCGGTGCTCTCTCTGACGCACTGCAAGCCATGGGGGACATGGAAGCAGCTGTGGTGAGGGAGCTGCAAGGGGGACACGGCCGGATAGGCTCCGGGTGTGGCCTGCTGCTGGAGAGAGCCAGTGCAGTGCGGTTGAAGTCGGTGCGGGTCGGAGCAGGAGGAAAGGAAGGGATTGGTGGAATTGAGGAGAGACATGGGCTTTCTACAGCAGCAGAGGGAGCAGCAGGAGCAGTGGGAGCAGCGGCAGCAAGAGTTCCGGAAGAGAGGAGTGCGAGGTCGAGTGACAGGAGAGGGAGGGGCATGTGGGAAGCACGAGGCACATGGGGGTGCAACAGGGAGGGTGCATGGGATGGAAAGCAGCTGCTGGCGCTTATATCCCAGCATGAGGGGCATGAGACAGAGGGCGTTGCTGCTGAGTCGCGTGGGGAGTCAGAGGGAGCGGCGCTGGGTGGAGCTGGGGAAGGGAGTGGCGAGGAAGCAAGAGGGGTTTCCATGAATCGGGACATGGGATTGGGTTTAGGGATGGGCCGGGGAATGGAGTTGCAGGGTGCGAAGGAGGGGCGGGAGTGGGAGGCGGTGGAGATGGGTTTGCGGGTGGGCTGGAATGCCATCCTTAATGCGGCTGCCAAGCATGGCCGATGGGACTTGGCTCTGGCTATGCTGCAACGGGTGAGACAGATAGACTGGCGAGAGGAGAGAGGAGAGAGGAAAGAGGAGAGGAGAGGAGTGGAGAGGAGAGAGCAAGAGAGAGATGGCATGGTTTGTAGAGACCACTTATACATGTCCACTGCACCATCTTCTTTTACGTCCCTCTTTCTCGTTCTGTCCACTTATATATGTCCCCATGTTTCCTTCTCTTTCCCGCCGTCCCTCCCTGCCGTGTGACCCCATGGCTCCGTGCATGCATGAATCAGATGGTGCAGTGGGGAGTGCGTCCAGATGACTACACCATCAACGCTCTCACCCGCGCTGCCTTCGCTTCCCACCGACCCACCCTCGCACAGGCCATAGTAAGTATCGCCAGTCCACCCTGCTCTTCTTCTCCCCCGCCCTCTCTCCGCCTTTCCCCATTCTCTCCGCGTTCCACCCTCCGCCCTCGTCCCGCACTCCCCTGTACATGCACGTGCTCAATATCCTTTCTCTCAAACGGTCCTTTGTATTGATTCAGCAGGGGTACAAAACATGCAGTGCTATCCATGATAACCTCCTTCCCTTAAGCCCCTTAACTCACCCCTCTTTCCCCCCCCCCCCCCCTGAGTGACCCTCTAGCCCTCCAGCGTGTGGAGGATGTCCCCCAGGTGCAGCGGCCAGGGGTCCGCTGCCATCTGGGGGTGCGCTGCCTCAATCCCAGCCCTGGCCTTGGTGTGCAGGGCATTCGCCTGGGAGCGCTGGAGGGCCACTGACCAGCGTTGGCTGAAGTGGCAGGCTATCTTCTTGGCCGATTTGGCCAAGGGGTTGGCCCTGAACCTGTTCCTAGCCGCTGCTGTGGCCAGCAGCTTAAGGAACGCTGTCGTGGGGGGCGCGTTTGCCCCGTATGTCTCGAAGTCACCCTTTCTCTCCCTCTCTCCATGTCACCCTTTATTCTCCCCGTCCCCACCCTCTGCTCCCTCCCTGCCCCAGTTCGACCTGATCAGTGGCACCACTGGCAACCGCGAGGGCTCCACTCCTGCACTCACCGCTCCAGACGGCTCCCTCGCCTTGGCTTCTCCCTCCGCCGTCCCCAGCAGCCACAGCAGCAGCGACGGCAGCAGGGGAAGCAGCAGTGGCAGCAACAGCAGCAGCAGCGGCGAGTCTCTCCGAGTGGCTGTGGACTCCTTCCTGACATACGGCTTGATCCGCCATGGCAGCACACAGGATGCTCTGCGCTTGTTCCACCAGATCAGACAGGGAGGACCCAGCAACACCAGCTCGACTGATCCTCTTACTCATACTGATGATGGTGATCATTATCATGATGAGTATGGCCACGACACAAGGGCTTTCACTCGCTCTGATGCAGCAGCAGCAGCAGTAGCTACTTCAACCGCGTCTGGAGAGCATGCAACGCGCCTGCGGTTCGCAGGGAACGCTCTCATCCGCGCGTGCAGCAAGGAGGGCCGGTTCGACAATGCCTTGCAGGTGTTTAAAGCCATGCTGGCTGACCAAGTACCTGTTGACACCTGCACTCTGCAGGCCCTGCTGCTGCTTGCTGCCGGCCCCACCACGCCCACTAGGTGGGGCATCAAAGGGAGTGGTTCCGGTGGAGGAATGGGAGGTGGAGGGGACCTGGTGGGGGATTGGATGGGAATGGGGGACGGTTGGGGAGGGAATGAGATGGGGCTGCGCGGGGTGAGGGGAAGAAGGGGTGGGGAAGGTTGGGGAGATGGTGAAGGGGGTGCAGGGGAATTGGAAGGTGAAGCTGGCATGGGGCGGTGGAAGAGCGGGGATCATGATCACGAGGATATGGATGGAGAGACTGGAGTATCTGCGGTCGGATGGAGAGATGATGATGCTGGTGCGGTGGACGAGGAGGGAGAGGGGGGGGGGACGAGGCAGAGGGAGGTGTGGCAGCGAGTGGCAGCAGTGGAGGCGGCAATGGGTGCTGCTGGTGTCAGGCACTCTGCTGCATCCTTCTGCACACTCGTGAGCGGAATCCTCTCACCCCGACTTTAGCTGCCACAGGCCCAATCACCTAACAGTTAACCCCCCACCCCCCTCTGCCCCCACCTTCTCTGACCCCCCTCCACCCTCCGGTTTCCTTCCTCCGTCCTCTTCCCAGTCCCTCAATCACCGGATTCTTCTCCCTCCCTCTTGCCTCTTCTTTCCCTTCCAACCTGCCTGGCAGGTGCGAGTGTTGGGCGGGGCGGGGCTGTGCAGGGCGATGCAGCAGCACGTGCAGTGGGGGCTGTCCACGCCTGATGCTGCTGGCCGCCCGCTCACCGACACGCTCACTCTCAACACCGCCATTGCTGCCGCCGCCAGGCTCGGCCAGGTGGGTCCCTGATTTGAGACGCCTGGGAAACTGCTGCTGGAGTGGGAGGGAGATGTGGGTGCATGAGGCGACCCATTGGTGGCAGACATGGGGTGACTGTGAGGGGGGGGGGGGATGAAGGTGCAGGGGGGAGGAGGGAGGAAAAAGTGTGGGAACAGAGAGTGGCCTCTCGCGCTTGCACCTGTTTTGCACTGTCTGTTATCTCAGGTTCAGTTCTATGTTGCTGTACGATAACACTCCACGCCCCCCCCCTCCTTTGCACCACCTTCCTCCACCCCCCACTGCCCCTTACTCTCTCCCACCCTTGTCATGCCGCCATCCGCCTTCCCCCTCCCTATTACCCCCCTGGCATTACCCAACAACCACCGTGTCACAGGTGCACGCAGCAAGGCAGCTGTTTGCTCTCACAGAGCAGCACCCGCACCTCACACCCACCACCGTCACATTCAATGCTCTCCTCAACGCCCTTGCTGTCGCTGCTGCGCACACAGGGGCAGGCAGTGCGAGTGCAAGGGGGAGCAGGAGGGGCGGAGACGTGCTGGTGGAGAGGGATGGCCGGTGGCGGGGAGGAGGGGAGTGGGAGGGCGAGGGTGGTGAGACGGACTGTGTGGCTGAGGTGTGCGACGTGATTGAAGAGATGGAGGAGAGGGGGATTGAGCCGGATACCATCACGTTTAACACTGCCATCAAGGTGTGTGCGTCTTTCTCAGTTCCGTTCCTTGTTCCGTTCTTGTTCCTTCTCTGTGCTGACCCTCTTGCTTTTGCGTGCGGTTGCTCCTTTGCTTGTTTGCTTGCTCTCTAGTCCGTCTGTTCGCTTATCTACATGCATGCTCACCCATCTCCTCACTTGTTGGCTGTGTGCGTATCTACATGTCCGATTATCGAGTCAACTCAATAATTTCCTCCTTGCTTGTGTGCATATCTATATGTCCATCTCCCCGTGTCTCCGTGCGTGTTCGCGGTGTGCACATGCTCGTTGCTCGTTGCTCGCTGCTCGTTGTGCGCTGCTCGTGGCTCGCACTGCAAACCATGTGGCTCACTGCCTGGGAGCACACGGCAGGCGGCATGCAGTGTGCAGGACTACAAGGCAGCGCATCGCTTCCTAGCACGCATGGAGCAGCACCCTCACCTCACCCCCGACCAGACCTCTTACAGCACCGCTGTCGCGTTTGCTGCCTTCCAGGTGAGTTCTTATGGGTGGCTGTTCACTCTCTCATATAGCTGTGCTGGTGTGGAGAGGCTCGTTGATTCCACCTTCCCGCTGTTGCTCCTCTTCCTCACAACCCCACTGTCCCCCGCCATTCGGTCTAAAATCCGCCCTTCCACCACCTTGGTCCCCCCTTTCCCTCCCCTCACCCCCACACACCGCCCTCTTACACCGCTCATCTTCCTGACACACCTCTCCCGCTGTCCGCATCCCCACTCCCCGACTCTCCCCACCAACCAATCCCAGGGCAACATCTTTCACATGGAGCTCTTCCTGGCGCGGCTGCTACGGCAGCGTGTGCCGCTCTCCTTCTCCGCGCTTGCCTCAGTCGTAGAGGCATACGCCCATGCCATTCCCCGCAGAATCAACCAAGTCACACCTGCCACTTTAGCTCTAGCCGAGCATTCACAGCAGGTGCAGTGGGAGCAAGGGGGCAGACTTGAGGGAGGCCAGGGGGAGAGCAAGGCGATTGAGAAGGCAGAGGTGAAGAGGCGGGGGAGAGGGTCGGCAGTAGTGTCTGGGGGGGAGGAGAAAGGAGGGGTTGCTGTGAGGAGTGAGGAGGGACGGTTGATGGAGTTTGCACGGCAGCTGGCAGCAGAGGTGGAGACGAGTGGGGAGTGCGAGGAGGAAGGTGGTGGAGCCGCGAGGAGGGAGAGTGTGGTGGGATGGAGGGCTCGGATTGAGGAGCAATTACAACAGTGGGAACGCGCTCTGGAATAGAATAGCAGCGCATTGAAGTTCTTGAGGTGGATATTTACTATATAAGGCTAGGATACAAGGCTTCTTACCCACTCATTCCATACCGTCATCGCCCGGATATAAGACAGTGTTGAATAGTAGACAGGGGTTGTCTACTATACGGGTGTCTCTTATAAACAGGCTAGCCTTTTTATACGACACCTATTTGTGTGTACGAGTTAAGACATATATGTCGTATAATCAGAACCGGGGTTTAGGGGTTTTCTTATAAACAGGGGGTGTCTTCTAAACGAGCCTTCTTTACTTTAGGGGGGTACATGCATACATTCATGAATCTCTACTTCTACCTAACCCCCCTCAGTCACCGCCCCCTCGCCTGCGCTAACAACAGGCTCTACACCCAGGTCCGGCACTTGCCAGGCATGCCTAGCCATCTCCCTAGGCTCGATCATGCGGTCAGCCTCGGCCGCCGCCCCGCGGTAGTTGGGGGTCTCCTGGTACAGCACCTCCAGGCCGGTTGCCACTGCCACCTCCCGCACGCCCTCCGCCTGCATCGCCTCCTCCTCCTCCTCCTCCTCCTCCTCCTCCTCCTCCTCCTCCTCCTCCTCCTCCTCCTCCTCCTCCTCCTCCTCCTCCTCCTCCTCCTCCTCCTCCTCCTCCTCCTCTTCCTCCTCCTCCTCCTCCTCCTCCTCCTCCTCCTCCTCCTCCTCCTCCTCCTCCTCCTCCTCCTCCTCCTCCTCCTCCTCCTCCTCCTCCTCCTCCTCCTCCTCCTCCTCCTCCTCCTCCTCCTCCTCTGGAGCCCGACCGAGCAGGCGCGTGTTGTCGCCTGTGGTCCCCCCGAGGGACATGTCCGCGGAGACATCAGTGGTGCTCCTGGCGCGCAGGTGAGACATCACCAGGTGGTTCTCCGTTCCGTCCAGCTTGCTTGAGATCCCACAGTGGCGGAACGCGTCGATGATGATCTGCTTGGGGACTTGATCCCAAGCCTCCGCGATCCACTGCAGCACCACGGGGTGCGGCGGCCTCCGCAGGATCCCTGCGGGTGGGTTTGAGGACGGGGCAACGAGATGTTAGAGACACAGACATGAAGGAGCATGTTTAAGACAAGGACAGGAAACAGAACATGAATAATACCGTAAATGAAGGACCAATTTACCCTTCTTCGTCTTCAGGTGAATCCCCTCACGCATGAACCACCTGGCGTAGCACGCTCGCACAGCAGCCTTGAAGCACTGGTTGATTGAGACGTCCAGGGGTTGAATCTGGCTCGTACAACCCGCTGGGATGACTGCAGGGGTGATGCTGTGCGTGCGGTATGACTGAAGCATGGTATGGGTGATGTGACCACGGTAGGAGTCCAACACCAGCATCGCACGCCTCGCGTTCTGGCCGCGCTGGGGGTTCAGATGGGGCAGCACCTCCTTGGACAGCCAGGTTTGCACAGCGCTCTCGCCCATCCACGCGTTGTCCTGTGCTTGGACCACGATTCCTGCCAGGCACACAAGGGACAGACGGGCATCAGCACAGTGGGGCACGCTCATCAGGCAGTCGCACGGTTGAATTCATTACGCTTACCTTCCGGAATCTCACAGTTGGGGACGTTCTTCATCTTGAACCACACCCACAGCCGCAGCTTCTCCCCGGATGCAGTGCACGCGAGCATCACCGTCAAGCGAGTTTTCTGGTAGCCTGCAGTGCGGATTTTGACCGAGCGCGCGCCGCGGTGCTCGATCGTCCGTTCGGCTGGCATCTCCACGAATAGTGGAGTCTGGTCCGCGTTGATGATGCGGGCCAGGTCGATGCTGTGCCGCGCCCTGTTGATGCGCACGAACTTACAGAAGGACTCCCAGTCCTTCGCGCACCCTGCAAACGGTACACGCGCAACGGAAACACGGGATGGTTAGACACTGGGTGAGGGACATGCATTCAATAGCCCGCGCGCGACACGAATTCCTTCAACACGGACCTGCCGACAGTCGTTGGCCGACCTTGGTCTTCACCCGCATCACCAGGCTCCAGCGGTCACGGAAACGCTGGCTCCAGTGAGAGCTCGCGTTCCAGTTCTTGCCGGCGTGATGCTTCTTCATCCACTCGCGGCTCCACTTCTGGGTGTCCTTCACCGAGATGGCCACCCCGTTAGCGCGCTGAAGGCAGATGTAGCGGTACAACGCTGCCTCCATGTCGGGGTAGTGTGAGTGGCGCCCCCCCCCGTGCATCCGCTTGCGGCAGTTAGCCGCGCCCTTGTAGACGCCTGCAGCCGCCTCCGCACTCCAGCGTCTGATGCAGGCGATGGACGCGGTTGACTCCACGCTCGTCTTCTTCAAGGAGCCGAGCTCCAGATAGTGGCGCGCCCACTTAAGCTTCTCACGCACGGTCCAACTGCGGCGCTTCCTCGTAGTGTCCTTGCTGCGAGGGGAAGGTGGGCGGGTGTTGGGATTATGGAGGGTGGGGTCCTTCGGCGTGACCTTCTCAGGGAACGTGGGAATCGGGCCCGCCGCCGCCGCGTACTCATCGTCGCTGCCCAGAGTCTCGTTCACGACGATGTCGTCAGGATTCGACGCCTTCTTCGCCTTCTTCTTAGTCGCACCCTTGCTAGATCCCGGGTCTCCGTCGGATGTCCGCTTCTTATTGCTTGTGCGGCGACGAGCAGGGGTCTTAGCAGGGGCTTCCGCGACCTTGGCTTTTCCCTTCTCCGCAGCGGTGAGTTTCGGGCGACGCTCCTCCCCCGGACTGTCGTCGTCAGAGAGCACCACGCGGGCCCGCTTCGACTTGGACTGTAGGTGATGGCGCAGCCTCCGCTTCAGTAGCGGAACGTCGTCGTCTGTCCCAAGGCTCCATGGGTCGTCGTCGCCGCTTTCACCGTCAAATAAGACGCGCTCCCGACTGGCCGATTCCACCATTCGTCCTCCTCGATGTCGGCAGGACCTAATTCGTCGCCCAAAGCGCTGTTGTCGTGGCCGTTCTCCGGCCAATCCTCCTCGGCGTCGTCGCCGTTCGCTTCTTCTCCGTCGTCCCCGTCACAGCTCGCACCGGAGGCCGCGGTAGGACTTCTCACCTTGCTCGCGTTCTTCGCCATGGCTACACGGATGTCATCGCCGGGCGAGTTAATTCGCCCGTAGTTTTTCACCTGCACGTGAGGACGAGGAGAGGACGAGCCTGGGGGTACTTTGCTGCGCATGGTTAGAAAGCCTGCCGAGAGCAAGCTTGAGACGAGTATTCCTAAACCCTTGAGCACCAAATGAAGTGAGAGGCCGACTACCCCCCCCAGCCAGAGTGCCCCATCCACAGGTGCCGAATCGCTCCTCTACGAGCCATCTCCTCGTAGAGGACAGCCCTCACGCTGCCAACGTGCTGCTAGCAGCGTTCTGGAAGCATCCCTACGTTGCTGGCAGCAAAACGACGCTGGCAGCATCATTAGATGCTGCCAGCACAGAGGAATATTGCCAGCGGTGGCAGCTCCTTCACGTGGCAAGTGTGGGCGCTGCATGCATCACCACCGAGGTCGGCCTGTTTCAATGAATCTGGTCTCTGGGTGTTTTCTACACACTTTGCAAGTGTTACAGTCAACTTATTTTTTTTTTCTATTTATAAGACATACCCTATAAGACACCCTAAACCATCCCGTTTACAAGATAACTCAAGCATTTTTGCCCGTGTACGAGATAAGACATATATGTCTTATACCCGGGCGATGACGGTATGTTTGGCATCAGAACAGAGTGGTTGACTTGAAAGAGATAACAATGGTATCCAGTCCAATATAGTGCCTCTGCAGCACAAAGATCATAGGCACTTGCTCTGATACGCATCCAACAGGTGGTACACCCATCTACCCGCATTTATTTCCCCACACATAACAAACGCGCACACCTACAGAGGCCCCTCTAGTTCAGCGGATTAAGATCATTGACGCGGATCTTGGCCTTCTGTCCCTTTTGGCAGTTCTGCCAGACGCGGCTGGCGAAGTAGAGCGTGGTGCCGGCCTCAACCTGGCGAATGGTGTAGATGTACTTTCCGAAGTAGGACGGCTTGACCAGCTGCGTGGCGAACGTGTAGTCGCACGCCTGGTATGCCGCCATGGTCGGGAACTTCCACACGTCCGATCGCCACCCGTTCCACCGAAACTCTGCATGCGGGAGGAGGGGAGAGGGATAGAGGAGAGTGAGAGGGCAAGAGAGTGAGAGGGTGAGAGAGGGAGAGGGTGAGAGAGGGAGAGGGAGGGAGAGAGAGTGGAGAGTGGGAGAGGGGTGAGAAAGAGAGGTTGGTAGTACCTAGATTGAGGAGCGTGAGAGAAAGCGAGGGAGAGTGAGAGAGTACAAAAGATTTAAGAGGGCGAGAGAGGAAGAGAGAATGGTGTCGGAAGTTGAGAATACGGTAAGGAAACGGGGACGAGGCAGGGTGGAAGGAGGAACCAGGGATTGTCACAGGAAAGGGGGTGAGTAAGGGAGCAGCTTGTTTTTCCCAGGGCGGCATACCAAGGTCGTTTCCGGGCAGCACGCGCTGAGGGTTGTACGTGTGCGCGCGGAGATTCCAGGGGTTGGGTCGGAAGGTGGGGAAGTTGTAGTTGCCGCCCACCACGAAGGTCGTCAGGGGATTGGCCTGCACCCCACGCACACGGAGGAGAAAGAACGCCGCCAAACCCTCAAACTGACGCTATTCATGGCAACGGCAGTATTAAACTCTATCTTCACTTCCTGCCAGTCGACACGGCAGGTTCGACGCGCGAACGCAGACGCGAAACAGGTTTCGCATGTTTCCAATCAAGAAATCCAGGGGTAAGCGAGTGGCGTGACGAGCTACGTGACTAGAGTGGCATGAAGAGACGCACCTGTGACGAGGTGACGAAAGCAGCGGCGATGAGCACCACCACCGCCACCACGACTCGCTGGGAGAAACTAAAATGCTGCTGCATCGCCATGGCTCGAGCTTGCGTACGAGAGTGAACAAAAGCCGAGCGGCACCAGAGAGTAACAGTTGAGCACAAGACTGGAAGTTGACGATGATTTGAGAGGAGCGTTCCATTTATAGCATGCGGCGGTCAAGTGCGACTCATGGCAGCGCTCAGTATGGGGGACGGGTCACGGCACGGGAGTCGTTCCAGTGGGAAGGTTTCGAGTCGGGTCGGGTTGGTCGGGGCGGGTCGGGTCGGTGGAGGTGTACTGTACGGCTGCATCTAGCGCTTCGCGACGGCTGTACCAGCGCTGCCTTGGGATTAGCGCCATCGGCGTCATGTCGGACAAGCATGGCGAAAGGATGAATTACAAAAAGGGCTGATGACTGGCTGCAATGTAACCCGCCAAGAATAGCGCATCCATTCGCCTCCCACGCGTTGCGTCGACTGCACGACATTCTTAGTTAAGAATGTCGGTAACGGCATTGGCCGTGTCATCGGCAGCCCCACGCGAAGCGATGTACAGTACTGTCGTACTGTGTCGTTAGTGCACAGGTAATGGTGGAGAACGTGGAAGTTCCACGACCGTTAGAGGAACCAGTCGCGAGCTGCAGACAGCAGTAAGAGAGCGAGGAATACAGGGGCGGAATGAATGACAAAGAGCACGCTACGTTGTGATAGGGGCAGTGAGGAACGGCGATTGCAGTTGGACTGGCATGGCATGCCTGTCATGTCATGGCTGCTGCTGGTGCAGAAATGCAGTGTGCTGTTGGCTTGAGGCGGTGACCAGTGACCACACGAGGACAAGATTCTGTGGCTAGACTCGGTAAAGAGAATAGCTATAGAAACAAACTAGCTTCTAAAGTAGAAAACACATCCACAAGGTTTCAGCCAAGCTGTAGATTGAAAAACAGCCAAGCTTTTACGCATAAATCTTACAACGTGAATACATCAATTGTGTAATAAATTTAAAGAATTTTACCATTGTCATAATGATACAAAGGTGTGACAGGACTGTATTACCAACCTACTACATAATACATCATATTTGTAATAGACTATACAAATAGATGCCACTCACTAAATGCAGCCTTATAGCGACCACTCAGCAAATGCTACAGTTAGTAAAGTTGTGCCTCCGAGATGCTGGGAACCTAGGTGGACCGAACAGGTTCGCCTCTCGCTTTTAGTGAGGGGAAAAGATCATCAGGGGCCGAGCAGTGCCAGAGAGGTGATCGACCAGGGGCCGAGAGGCCCGTATCTAGCCAAACCACTGCGCAAAGAGCATTTGTCAGAAAGACATCAACTTATGCACGTATGTTGGTTCACAATATGCATTCCGGCTCGCGCGTCATTTATTCATGGAAATCGTTAAAGATTCATGACCTTCCACCCAATACAGTCGTTTATCGAGCCAGAAACTCTTAAGACATCCAAAAAAACTTAAACCCCTAGGGAACCGGGATGCGTTTTCGGGATAGATCAACCCTAAAAACAAGCATTCATGGCGTTTAGGGTTGATGCCTCCCGAGTCGCACCCGTATCCGAACGGGTTTTATATATTTGTTTTCTGCGCGCTACGATCAGGAAGGTTAAATTTATTACCAATAATATAAATATGTCGCTTTGGACTCACAATTCAACACGGCAAATGCAACTTTGAGAAAAGTGCGACGCGCGCGCTAACATAAGAAACTCGTTGCGTTAAGCATTTACCGTTGTTTAACGGTTCAGCTTGCTCGCCTAACCGCTTGGGCAGCTCCGAGTTAATATCCTACGGTCGAGATTTTCAGGCCCTACTTCGGTCATCGCTCTGGTACTCTTCGGCCCCAGTTTGATCATTTCCCTTTAGCGAGTCTCTCCCCCTCTTGTCGGTCAGCGGTGGCACCACCTCAACCCAGCGGTACGGGCAGGCTCCAACACTTCGTGCTCCTTTTACAACCCTCCCGCCTGCCCCTAAATTTTCCCCATCCCTGGACCTGTGATGTGACCCGTCATGGGTGCGCGCAGGCTCCCTCCGCCCTTCCCCCTCAACCTTGCCCCTGCGGACTTTTCAGAATTCCTCGATCACACGAGGCGAGAACAGAAATGGCAACTGTAGTGATAGATCTCGCCATTGATTTCAACAGAACTGAAACTGAAAAGGGGACTGTGCAGCAGCTTTGTTCAGTGAGTATCTCGGCTTGACCCTCCCTAACCCGTCGTGCGCAGTGGCCGAGCGCTGGTGAATCGCTCGTGCCGGGCGTACTCCTCTGGCTGTGCTCCGCAGCTCCGCTAAGTCGGGCATCCCACTTCCTTACAGTTCGTTTGCCGAGTATAGAGAACCCCCGCACGCCGAATCTTTCTCGCCAATTCCGCACCCGCCGTCTCCATCGCCATCTAGCGCCCACTCGGCTCGCTCATGGCAGCGGCAGCGTCGGCGCCTCCGCCGCCTCTGCTGGACGCAGCGGCGACGGCGCAAGCGGTGCAGACGTTGCAGGAGGTGACGGGGGTGGCGGACGAGACGCACTGCCGCCAGGTGCTGGAGGCGCACGCGTGGGACGTCAACGCCGCCGCCAGCACGCTTCTCGCGGTCGCCGCCGCGGATCGAGAGCACTTTGGTGGCGCTTCCGCGGGCGATCTGGGAGGCGGCATCGGCGGCGGAGATGCCGCCGCTGCTGCTGCCGGCAGGTTAGGCGTGGCTGCGGGCAGTTCCGGCGGCACCAGCTTGGCGCGTTCCGCCGGCGCAGGGGGAGGGGCTACAGCAGCAACAGCAGGAGGAGCGGGAGGAGCAGGAGGGGGAGGCGGAGGCCCCATCGGCAACTCGAATCTGCGCGCTCGGACGGGAGGGCTTGTGTCTGGGGGAAGCGGAGGCGGAGGCATCGGCGGCGGCGGCGGTGGTGGAGGGGGAAGCAGTCCCGCCGCAGCAGGAGCGACTGCGGACGGCGCCACGGGCGCACTCCCTCCCGCCGTTTCCGCGCACCGTTCGGGCCGCGCGCCAGTCCGCGCGTCCCACCGCAACTCATCGTCGTCGCTCCTCTCGCGCCTACTGTCACTCCCCTTTTGGGTGCTCCGCGGAGGGCTGGGGGTCATGGCTAGTCTCTTCGGCCTAGGCTTGTGGGCGGCCGGCGGTGTCCTATCCACGTTCTTCGCTTCTCTAAGCTCCGTGACGCTCTGGCTAGCGGGCGGGCCGCACCCGTACAGCGGGCATCAGGGGACCATCGGCGTGCTTCACCCTTCGCAGCAGGCCGGGGGAGCGGCGCAACAACAGGCGCAGCGGGGGGCCGGAGGGGGAGGGGGAGGGGGAAACCAGCAGGCGCAAGACGCGGCGGTCTTCCGCCAGCGGTTCGAAGCGGAGTTCGGGACCGCGCACCCGGAGTTCTTTCCGGGGAGCTTCGCGGACGCGCTCCGGCGCGCGGGCGAGCAGTTCCGCTTCCTGCTGGTGTACCTGCACGCGCCGGAGCACGCGGCGACGCCTCGGTTCTGCCGCGACACGCTGTGCGACCCGGAGGTGGTGCGCGTGATAGACGAGCAGCTGGTGCTGTGGGCGGCGGACGTGCGCAGCGTGGAGGGCTTCCAGATGAGCCACCGCCTGCACGCCGTGCGCTTCCCCTTCCTCGCGCTCATCACCGCCGCGCCGGGCGGACGCGTGGCGCTGCTGCAGCAGGTGCGCGGCGCGCGGTGGGAGGGGAAGGGGAGGGAGGGAAGCGGATTGGGGGGAGGGGAGGGGAAGGGTGTTGAAGGAACGAGGGAGAGGGGGGATTGGGAAAAGAGGGAGGCAAGGATTGGGGTGGTGGGTTAAGAATGAACAAGGGCGTCGCTTCATCCCTCCTCCCGCACTCCCTCCCTCCCTCCCTTCCTCCCTCCCTCCCTTCCTCCCTCCCTCCCTCCCTCCCTCCCTCCCTCCCTCCCTCCCTCCCTCCCTCCCTCCCTCCCTCCCTCCCTCCCTACCTCCCTCCCTCCCTCCCTCCCTCCCTCCCTCCCTCCCTCCCTCCCTCCCTCCCTCCCTCCCTCCCTCCCTACCTCCCTCCCTCCCTCCCTCCCTCCCTCCCTCCCTCCCTCCCTCCCTCCCTCCCTCCCCCCCACCCTCCCTCCCTCCCTCCCTCCCTCCCTCCCTCCCCCCCACCCTCCCGCCCTCCCTCCCTCCCCCTGAGCGGGGCAGATCCAGGGCTACGTATCGGCGGGAGAGCTGAGGGCAGCGTTGGAGCGCGCGGTGGAGGACCATGGCGCGGTGCTGGTGGCGGCCAGGGCGGACGCGGAGGAGAGGGCGCTCACCCGCCGCCTCCGCGAGGAGCAGGACGCCGCCTTCCACGCTGCGCTGCTCGCTGACCAGGTGCGTGCATGGCATGGGGGGGAAATGGGGGTACAAGGGAGGGGAGCAAGCAGGGGGGCAGACCGGCAGGGGCAGTGCGTGCAGGGCCACTTTGGATTTGGCATGGGCAAGGGGTTGCAGCGAGTTGTACTTTACCTTTTCATCCTGCACTCCCTGCCCTTCCTTGCTTACTTTGTCCCTTCCTCCCTCCCGCCCACCATCCCTCATTCCCTCATGCCTTTCCCCTTCCCATCCATGGCTGCGCTGTCACTCTTCCACTGCTGCCCTCCCCATCCCCACTCTGCACCTCGTGCCACCAGGAGCGCGAGAGGGAACGGGAGGAAGCTGCGAGGAAGCAGCAGGAGGAGGAGGCTGCGGCAGCACGGCGGGCGGAGGAGGAGGCAGAGCAGCAGCGGCAGGTAGAAAGAGCAGCCGCGGAGAAAGCAGCTGTGGTGGAGAGGAGACGGTCAGAGGCCATGGGTAGACTGGGGGAGCAGCCAGAGAAAGGCCCAGACACCACTCAGGTGAGAGCAACGCGTGTTTTGATCTGCTTTGCGACATGTGAATGAATGTAGCAGCAGTGATGAGGAGACAGTCAGAAGCCATGGGTAGACTGGGTCCTGGGAGAGCAGGCAGATAAGGGCACAGACTCCACTCAGGTGTGAACCTTTCAAGGGGGCGTGTGATTGGCTCATCCTTCCCATCCCATCCCACCCACCCCACTCCACTGCAACCCAAACCAGCCCACCCCACCCCATCCTATCCCACCCCACTCCATGCCACCCACCCCACCCCAACCGATCCGTCCCATCCCATCCCAACCTCTTCTGCCTACCCCATCCCACCCCACCCCACCCCACCCATCATCCCCGGGGCAGGTGCTGATCCGCATGCCAGGGGGCGAGCGCAAGGAGCGGCGGTTCCTGTCGAGCGACCGCGTGCAGGCCCTTTACGACTACGTGGACTCGGAGGCGCTGGGTTCCCTGCTGCCGTCACACCACTACCTGCTCGTCTCCAACTTCCCCCGCACCGTGTACGACGCTGAAAAGCGTTCCAAGACGCTGCAGGAAGCAGGGCTGCACCCGCACGCCAGCCTGTTCGTACAGATGGAGGAGGAGCCTCGGGAGGACGTTGAGAGGCCAGTTGAGCCCAAGGGGAAGGATCTGTAGGGGGGTTGAGGAGTTGGGGTTGGAAAAGGGAGGGAGTATGGTAGTGTAGTTTGGTTAAAGATGATGTCATTCTTGCATGAGCTGTCTCCTTGTTTTCCATACCCTGCATGCTTTCTGGCTGGGACAGGAGGCAAATGACTGGTGTGGTGTGGTTTACCTTGTGGCGTGCTATAGGGTAATTCCAGGTCCCAACCCAACCCAACAGGCAGCAAGTGCATTGGTGCTGGAGATGTCACAAATGCCACAGAAGTTGGGCTGGAAGGAGGAGGCCATGGCATTTGGTCGATTGGACAAATTTGATTTGTGACAACTGTTCTAGTCGTGGTTCTGCTGATGAGATCGATGGCGTAGTTTTCATAGGGACGACTACTGTACTACCATGTGAAAGTGCACACCATAATCCATTAACCACCAGTACGTTCTAGCATCTACTGACATCTACTAACCTACACCGCTTTAGACCTCCTAGCTTGTGCCATAACATCCTACATGCCAGCACATATTATGTCAGCCACCATCTGCTAGTACACAACACACAACCGCTGGCCTGGCCACACACAAGCAGCACCGACCCAACCAGCACAAGGCAGGCTGCAGTGATGCATGCACATAACATGCTTGTTACGACACATGTGGTTTCTTGCACCACGTTCTGCTGGGCAACATCATCTTGTTTTACCTACAGGGCAGGGAAAAAAGTGGGTCGAGAAGAGGTGGGAGGAAGACAGCGAAGCAATGCTGTTCTGGCAGCCACAACAGCATGAAAGGATGTACCGGTAGTGGCAGCATGTGGCTGTGCGCTGCACTGCACCATCTGTCACACAGGCATCTCGGTCCTCGGATCAAGCCAGACCCACACATCCAACCCCTGGTACTGTGCCGCACCCATCTCCAGCCCCCTCGCTCACGCACTCTCTCCCTTACCATGCCATCACCCCATGCCAGCAGCACCATCGCCTCCCCGTGGCCCTAGCTCCTCTAGCAATTGCGCAGCCTTCCTCCTGTTCAAGCTCTCCGATGCTGCAACCCTAGCCAGTGCAATCTCCTCTTCAATATCCATCTCATCCTCCTCATCCTCCTCATCCTCCTCCCCATCCTCATCCTCTTCCTCCCCCTCCTCATCCTCCCCATCAACCCCCTCTTCCCTCTCATTGTAGCTTCCCCTGGGCCCGCCCAGGCGGTCCTTCATGCCCCATCCCAGCGGCAACTCCTCATCCATATGCCGACCCGAGCCACCCCTCCCCTCCCTCACCTCGCGCTCCCACGCCATCCCCTCATCCTCAGACAAATCCTCCCCATTCAAACCTGCTCCTGCTGCGTCCCCACCCTGCCTTCCATCCACTGCACTTGCAGTTCCCACAGCCCCCACGGCCCCCACAGCCCCTACAGCCCCGCCAGCCTCAATCATGTGAGTAGTAGACCCAGGGAGGCCAGCAGCAGGGCCAAAACCGGGAAGCACCGGTTGCGTTCCACCAGGCACAGCAGCAACTGCCGCAGCAGCAGCTGCTGCCACGTCAAACCGTCCCCCACCCTCCGGCACTCCAAACGAGCTTGCACCCAGCCTGCTGCCACCCATGCTGCCCGTGCGCCCAACCCCCAAGCCACCACCACCAGCAGCACTGCCCACCCTGCCAATCACCCCCTGGCCTTGCAGGTGCACGGGAACGGTAGTCCCGGCAGTCTTGCTTCTAACGAGTGCGGGGTTATGGCTGTTGCCGTCCTGCTGGCTTTTCTTCCCCGCCACTCGGTCCGTGGTCTGGCTGCGCAGCAGCTGCCGAATGCGGTCACCCGATGCCTTCACTGTGAACGTTCGCCCCAGCGTAGGGCTGCCATCAGCTGCTTCCTCCTCGCCGTCGCTGTCGCTCTCCCCATCGTCATCATCGTCCACACCATCATCCCCATCACCTCCACTTTGGGCTGTTGCTGTTGCTGCTGCACCAGCACCAGCACCATTGTCACCAGTAGCAGCAGCAACAGCAGCAGCAGCAGGAGGTGCTTCCTTCCCAGCAGCTGTTGTTGAGGGAACGTCGCCTGCACTGTCACCTTCATTGGATGCTGCCAGCACAGAAGCATCAGAACTGCCAGCGGCAGAAACACCCGCACCACCAGCAGCAGGAACAGCAGCGGCAGGAGCAGCAGCAGCAGCAGCCGGCGCAGCAGCAGCAGCAGCCTCCCCATCCATATCATCATCATCATCATCATCATTATCATTGTCATCATCTTCATCCAGAGTCTTGAGGTTGCGAGCCATCTCCACCTCCTTCTCATGCACCAGCCGCCCCAGGCTCGGTGTGCTCACCAGCGTACCAGCCGCTGCCGCCGCCGCCGCTTCTGCCAGCCCTGGCAACAGCTCCCCATCGCTCCCATCGCTGTCCTGTTTCTTCAGCTCCCGTCTCCTCTCCCTCTCCTCCTCGTCGCTCCCGCTTCTAGAGCTTCTGCCAGAGCTCCTGCTCCTGCTCCTGCTTCGCCTCCTGCCGTCCCTTCTCCTCTCCTCGTCCCTAACCTTGTCGCTTCCACTCCCTCCTCCTGACCCCTTCCTCCCTCCTCTCCTCTTCCCTCGCCCTCCCTTCTCACTATCGGAATCACTACCCCTTCCCCTCCCTTCCCTATCACTATCCCAGTCACTGTCCCTGTCTCTGTCTCTCTCCCCGCCCCTACGTCCTCTCCAGCCCCTATCTCTCTCCCTATCACTATCCCTATCACTATCCCAATCCCGGTCTCTGTCCCAATCCCTACTCCTATCCCTATCCCTGTCCCTCCCTCGCTCCCGACTGTCATCCCTACTTCCCCTGCTGTCATCCCTGCTCCTGTCGCTATCCCCATCCCTGCCACCCCGCCTACCCCCCCTCCGGCCTCTACCCCCCCTGCTCCGGTCCGAACCAGACAAACTCCCTCTCTCCTCGTCCTCATCCCCCTTGCCCCCTTCCGCAATGGCTGCAGGTTTGTTCATCATGCGAGCCCAGATCTGGTCCATGGTCAGCCCAGTCATGGACGACTTCTGCTTCACATGCCCCTTGCCTGCTTCCCTCGGCTCATCCCTAATATCATCATCCTCCCCACCCGTCACACCACCCTCTGCCGCATCCTCATCCCGATCCTCATCCTCTTCCTCCACTTCCACCTTCTGCCTTCCAAAGCTCTTACTCCCCTCGCGTTCCTTCACGTCCCGCCCGTCCTTCCATTGTGCGCTCTCCCTCTTCCCCAGCGCCCTCAGCCCACTAACATCGGAGCTCCTCTTGCCGATACCCTTCACTCCATCGTCTTCAGCACCATCCAGAAAGGCTTTGAGTTCCGACCGCCTCCCAGTGAGTCTGTTTGGGTCCGTCACTTCAACCACTGAGTCGTTATCATCATCATCATCATCATCACCACTCGCACTCCCACTCCCACTCCCACGCCCGCCTTTGCCTCCTCGCCTCCCCTCTCCCCTCCGCCTCCTCCTGTCACTCCCACTCCTGCTCCTGCTCCCACTCCTGCTCCTGCTGCTCCTGCTCCTGCTACTCCTCCCGCTGCTGCGGCTGTGGCTGCGGCTGTGGCTGCGACTTCTACTCCCGCTGATACTCCTCCGTCCTCCCCTGCTTCCCCTGCTGTCCCTCCCGCTGCGGCTATCCCCCATCCTACCCAGTCTACTGCTCCTCCTCCCACTCCCACTGCGACCCACGCTCCCACTCCCGCCGCTATCGCTCCTGCTGCCACTGCCCCCTCTCTGCAGCCCTGACCCTCGCCGCTGCACCTTCTCCTCATCCTGACTGACCTTCTGAGACATAATCAGACTGTAAATATCCTCTCTTCGCCCACTCCCCGTGCCCACCAACCCTTCTCCTCCTCTCCCGCCACTGCCAACCCTCCTAGGAGACGACCCAGAGCCGCCAGATCCACCACCCCATGCTGCAGAAAACGCCAGGGACCCCGATCCTCCCTCCCGCCCTCTCCGCAGCATGCCCGACCCGCCCTCCTTCCCTCGACCCAGAGCAGACCGCATGTCCCTGGACCCTGGCTGCGGCCTCAGGCTACCTGTGGTGCGAAGGCTCCCTGTGGACCAGAGCGGGTTGGGAGGAAGGCCGGAGAACCCCGAGGAAGAGGAGGAGGAGGCAGCAACAGCAGCTGCCACCAGCGCATGGGCTTCCTCGGGGGGGAGTTGGAGTTCCATGGCGGCAGCCATGGCAGCTGACACGGGCGTGGTGGCCTCAGGTGTGAGAGACGGTGTGGTGCTGTCCCCAGGGTGATCGCTCTCTGTCTCATCCCCCTCATCCTCATCCTCGGTGTGGCTTGAACGGCTGCTGCGGGAGCGCCTGCGCTGCGCGCGCTTGCGACGGTTGGCCTTTGACTTGCGGCCACGCCCCTCGTCCTCCTCCTCCTGGTGCTCGTCCCTGTGCTCATCATCGTCCTCGTCGTCGTCCACAGAGCGGAACTGCACGAGCGTGCAGGGCCCGGAGAACGAGGACCTCGAACCTGTATCCAGCTTGTCCAGGCGTTCCCTGCATGCGTGGTGTGCATGGGACAATTTATTTAGAACCCTCAAAATTGATGGTAAGATGGGGTCGCAAGCACGCGAGAGAGAGGTCAGCGGGTGAGGGAGAGGCAGGAGGCGCGGGGGGGAGGGAGGGAGGAGATGGGGAAAGAGAAAGGGAGAGAGCAACGGTCGACTGCAGAGGAACAGCTGCGCAAATGCACGCATGTAAATACGTTAGGCTGCATCTGTAGGTTTCATGAACAGGGCCCAGACCCTGCTCACCTGACAACCATCTCACAGGGCTGGCCTCAGCTGACAGTCATCTGCAGGTCCCTGAAGCGCACGGGCTTGGGAATGAAGTAGTCCATGCCGGCACGCTTGCACTTTTAAGGCAACCCAAAAGAGGCCATGTCCCTGCTCACCTGACGACCATCTGCAGGTCCTTGAGGCGCACGGGTTTGGGGATGAAGTAGTCCATGCCGGCACGCTTGCACCGCTGCTCCTCCTCCCTGCTCGTGGTGAGCCCGGGTGTGAGCGCTACCATGCAGCTGCGCTCGTACACGCCCGCCCGCCCCACACCCTCCTTCTCCTGCGCCCTCAGCAGCCTCGCCATGTCAAACCCATCCACCCCCGACAGGTTGCAGTCCTGGGGGGGTTGGAGGGGGTTGAGCAGTGGGGGTGGTGGCAGGGATTGGGATCAAATTGAATGAGATTGAAAACAATCTCAGCAGCCTCGCCGTGTCAAACCCATCCACACCCGACAGGTTGCAGTCCTGGAGGGTTGGAGGGGGCGGTGGGGGAGAGAGTCAGATTGCAAGAGATGTGAGGGTGATGGAAAGGAGGAGTGGCTCTTGAGGTGAAGCACTGGCAGGGCAGGAGGATGAAGCTGAGGAACAAACGATGATGCGTGGGGAGCAAGCATGACGACGAGCCTCAGAAGGAAAGACGGGGCATCCGCTTGTGATAATCTGTTGAAACGAGGTGGCTTACAATAAGGATGAGGTCGTATTTGTACTTGTGGAAGAGTGATGCGGCGTCCATGGCAGTGTGGGCTGTGTCCATGGGCAGACCCAGGTGCCGGAACACACTTGATGCTATCATCTCACTCATCTTGTCCTCCTGTCACCACCACACGTGCACGCACTCACATACATATACCAACACACACACATATGCATGCATGCAGACACAAGCACAAACACATGCATGTACGCGCGCATGGATGCACGCACAAACGCATTGATTCATTCCAGTCCCACCGACAGGCACAGCGCAAATGAAGGTACGCATGCAGGGATCCATGTGGGTTTCGGGCTTACACTTTTGGGTGAGAGGTAGACGAATGGATGGATGGATGGATGGATGGATGGATGGATGGATGGATGGATGGACGGACGGATGGATGGATGGATGGATGGACGGATGGATGGATGGATGGATGGATGGATGGATGGATGGATGGATGGATGGATGGATGGATGGATGGATGGATGGATGGATGGATGGATGGATGGATGGATGGATGGATGGATGGATGGATGGATGGATGGATGGATGGATGGATGGAAGGATGGATGGATGGATGGATGGATGGATGGACGGATGGATGGATGGATGGATGGACGGATGGATGGATGGATGGATGGATGGATGGATGGATGGATGGATGGATGGATGGATGGATGGATGGATGGATGGATGGATGGATGGATGGACGGGCTAGTGGCAGCAGGGCTCACGTCGACGAGTAGCACGCGGATGTCTGCCAGTCTGCGCCAGAGCGCCATGTCCGGGGGCTGGTGAGGGCTGAGCTGGGCGGGCGTGAGCATGACCTCGGGAATGGCTACGCGCACAAAGAAGACCATGGACGACCCGCGGTGCTCGTCGCTGTCAAAGCGCAGGAAGCCGCCAAACATGTCCAGGAGATTCTTCACGAGTACCAGGCCCGTGCCCCTCACTCCGTTCACTGACTCCGCTGGGAGGGTCTGCGGGAGGAGGGGCAAACGGGGGGAGGGAGGAGAGAGAGGGAAAAAGGGAGAGACGAGGAGGGGGAAGGGGGGGAGGGGAAAGGAGTGGGAGGAATGGGAGGGAGGCGGGAGGGGGGACATGACGGTCAGGAAGGTGCAGTACAGTGCACTCACAGACATGAACATGACAGTGAGCTCGTCTTTGAGAGCAGCTGTCATGCATGCCTGGTGGTCAGAAAAGGTGCAGGGTAGTGCAGTGCAGTGCAGTGCAATGCAGTGCAATGCAGTGCAGTGCAGTGCAGTGCAGTGCAGTGCACTCACAGAGGCAAACATGGCAGTGAGCTCGTCTCTGATAGCAGGCAGCATGCCCGACCCCGAGTCCCGCACTTCAAAGCGCAGCAGCAGCGCGCCCGCACTGTCCCCCGCATCCTCGTCGTCGTCGTCATCGTCAGCGGCAGCGGAGGCAGCAGCGGGGCCGAGGAGAGTGCGCTGCTGCGCCTTGTGCTCCCTGCGCCGCTCCTGCACCTGCTCCCTCTCGTACCGCGACGCCAGTCGCAGACTCACTGTGATGTCACCCCTGGTGCATGCGGTGGGTGGGGGTGGGAGAGAGCAGGGGGAGTGGAGGGGGAGGGAGGGAGGGAAGGGAAGGAGGGAGGTGGAGTTGATATAGGCATCGGCAGTTGCAGAGCCAGGATTGGATTGATACGCCATGCGCTTCTTGATTTCGGGTTAAACGGTCTAGAAATAACGGGTAACAAGGATGGGACATGGTGGCACGTATGAAATATGAGGGCAGGGGTGTGTGTCACACAGGGGGGAAATCCCGGGGCCAGGAAACGAACAGGAGCCGAAACTATAAGCAGGAAGAGGTAGGCATGCACAGCGATGATGAAAACTAAAAGCAGGAAAGTCAAACCAGGAAACGAAGCAGCAGGGAGACGGGAGAGAGGGGGAAGGGGAAGAAGAGGGGGAGGGGGGGGGGGGGTGAAGGGGAGGTAGAGGGGGAAGGGGAGGAAGAGGGGGAAGGGGAGGGGGAGGGGGAAAGGGGAGGCGGAAGGAGAGGGGGAGTAGTGGTTCGAACCGGGTGGTGTTGTGGAGGGCGTTGAAGAGCAGGTTCATGAGCACTTGTCTGAGACGCACTGCGTCGGTGACCACCATGCGTGGCACCGCTGAGTCTATCCCGCACATGAGCGCCAGTCCCTTCTCCTTTGCCACCACGTCCACCAGCCGCACACACTCCCGCACCTGATTGCATGCCCGCACATGCATGCACACATATGCACACAGACGCACACGCACCCATGAACCCACATGCACGCATCCACACGCGGTTGTCGTGCATCAAGGTCAGTTCAGATGAAACGTGCAATGAGTATAACGACAACGGGAGAGTCGGCGCGTAAGAGGGCCAACAGAAGACATGCAAGGTGATGCCAAGGCCAGGAGCCTGCACCCACTCCTCACCCCTCCCACCACCCCTCCCCTCGCCCTGCCCTTCCCATCCCCACCCTCACTCACCTGTCGGTGCAGGTCCACATCCTGTGTGGGGAGGTGCAGCGTGAGGTTGGAGTGGGTGCACCTCCAGTGAGGTGATCCAAAGACCGAGCCTGCGCCCACTCCCCTTCCCCCCTCCCACCATCCTTCCTCTCACCTCCGCCACCCCTCCCCATCCCCCCACCCTCACCTGGCGGTGAAGGTCTACGTCTTGTGTAGCGAGGTGCAGCGAGGGCTTGGAGAATCCTCCAGCGGCAGGCAGGGGCGGGTGGGTGGCGGCGGAGAGGAGGAGGTTGGAGAGCACGGTGTGTAGGTTGGAGGAGGTGGCGAGAATGAGCTCCATGAATATGCGCTGCTCGCCTGCTAGGTCCGTGTCCAGTAGCAGATCCGCTATTCCCACCACGCCTGGTGGTGGGGAGAAGGGGAGACGAGGAGAAGGAGAGAGAAAGAGAAGGAGACGGCAGGAGAGAGAAAGAGGCAAGGAGGAACGAGAGGTGAGTCGCGGGGTAGGAGGGAAAGGGAAGAGGAGTGGATGTGAGTTATTGAGGAGGGCATAGGGCAGACAGGAGAGGGGAGAGGGAAGAGGAGAAAGCGGAGAGTTACCATTGATAGCAGTGCCGACCTCGCGGCACACGATGCGAGCAAACTCCTTGTTGCCTTCCACTCCAGCCTCCTGCACAGCCTTCTTGGCCTCCTTCATCTCCTCGCCATGTCGGCAGCACCCCGTGATGTCATGCACCAGCAGCGCCACCACTTCCGGCAATACCCCCCCTCCACCGCTCCCGCCCTTCCCAGCACCACTCACACCAACACCAGCACCAGCACCAGCAGTAGCATCAACACCAGCGGCGCCAGCAGCAGCGGCAGCAGAGGTAGAAGCATCAGGTGTGTCGTTGTGACTGTCTTGGTGGGCAGCAGCTTGTGTGTCAGGAGCTGCTGCTGGTGGCGGTGGCAGAGCAGCAGTCATACGCACACGCACAGACCCTCCCAACTTGTGCTGCATCCGCACCTCTAAACAGTCCCTCCCCTGCCCCACTGCTGGCTCTGCCGCCGCCGCCGCTGCTGCTGCTGCTGCTGCCCCTGTTCCTGCAATTCCTCCCTCCTTTCCTTCCCCGTCTGCTGCTGTTGCTGCTGCCTCTGGTCCTGCTGTTCCTCCAGCTGCTGTGTCTGCCCCTTCCCCTGCCAGCACAGCTCCACCGTCCTTGCTAGCAGCACCATCAGCAGCAGCAGGGGCAGCAGCAGCGCCAAGCATTTCCATTGCGTTGTCCACTTGACCATCAGGCACCGGCGTCCCTGCTTTGCCTGCTTCTGTAGAGTCAGCAGGAGTCGAGTCGGAAGCTTGGTCCTCAGCCTTCTTGCACACTCGATCCAACCACGCCTGCCAGGGCAGCAAGAGCAGACCAGGGAGGAGAAGAAACGGAGGATGAGCGTGAAGGCCATGGATGGAAGGAAGAACGAAGTGGAAACAGTTTGACACACCCTAACACGACCTTTCCCCTTCCTCTTCTGCCCTTTCCGTCCCTCTTTCCCCCACTCCCTCCTTGTCCTGCCAACAGTCCCCATCCTCGCAAACCATTGCAACCGTTTGCCCCCAGGCACCTCGAACTTGGGTCGGTCAGCTTCAAGCACAAGATCCGCAAAGCACTGCCCGTCCACGTCCGCCCTGGCGCGCCCCAGCATTGCCGCCATGCCCTCGTTGCTCACTGCCACAGTCCGTGTTGCCGCCACCAGCGTCACCGTACCCAACCCTGCTGCATCCATCAGCGCCCTGCTCATCGTTGGCAGACAAGGGGATGGGGATGGGGAATAGTGGGGGGGCGGAGGGCGGGGTGCGGGGCGGGGGAGGAGTAGGGGGGCGGAGGCCGGGGTGCAGGGCAGAGGGAGGAGAAAGGATGAAGAGATGTGAGAAAGGGTGGGAGAGAAAATAGGAAGTGGTATTTTTATTGTTCTGGGGGTGGGAAATAAATTGGGAATGGAGCAGGAGAATGCGAGGGAGGAGAGAGCGGGGCGAGGGGTGAAAGTAGAGGAGGAGAAGGGAGATTGAAGAAAGAGCAGTGACACCTGTTGAGAGCAAGAACGGATTCCGTCACAGCAGCCATGGTAGCAGCATCCGCCTTCCTCCTTGCACCTGCCCCTCCACTGCGAGAAGCACGGGAGGCGCGTGAAGCAGGGCTGTACAAGTCTATTCCACCGTCATCCTCCTCTAACCCTAACCCCTCCTCTTCCTCCTCCTCCCTCCCCCCTCCGCCACCATACAAGTCCTCATCGTCCTCATGATCCTCCTCTTCACCTCCCATCATCTGCCCCATACCCATGCCTGTCATCCCCATGCCCATCCGCGGAGAATGCAAAATAGGAGCCAAGACTATGCTATCGTGGCTCATCTGCTCTTCCCTGTAGGTCCCCCTCCGCTGCTGCTGCTGCCGAGCCAAGCCAGCAGGTCCGGGAAGAGGCATCCCCGCCACCATCCCTGCTACCATGCCTGCTGGCCCCACTCCTCCCGGTCCCATGCCCATACCTCCGCCACCCATCCCCATACCGCCTCCCATCATATTCATCCCTCCTGGGCCCATACCCATCATCCCTGGGTTCATTCCCATGCCCATTCCGCCCATACCCATCCCCATGCCCATCCCCATCCCATCCATACCCATCCCCATATTCATAGCCTCCATGCCCATGCCCATGCCCATCCCATCCATACCCATCCCCATGCCCATTCCCATGCCTCCGCCCATGCCCATACCGCCGCCCATCCCCATGCCCATGTACCCATGGGGGCCCATGCCCATGTGCCCCCCAGCACCCATAGGCCCTCCACCTGCCCCCATCATCCCCCCACCTCCATCCATCGTATTAAGAGGCTTAGCCATTATCGTGGAGTCATCATAATCATCATCATCGTCATCATCGTCATCATCATCATGCATATGACCCCCCATGGCTCCCATGCCCATTCCCCCATCATGCATCATGCCACCCCCCCCCTCATACCCTTCCATCCCCATGTCCATGCCCATGTCCATGCCCATACCCTCATCCATGCCCATTCCCCCACCTTGTTCACCGTGCACTGGGCTATACATGTCATCCATCAAATCCTCCTCCTCCCCCATCCCCATCTCTCCTTCCCCTGTCCCTTCCATCCCTTCAACCCCCTCCCCTCCTCCCATCTCTTCCCCTCCGCCTGATCCTTTTTTCTGCGCCCCTTTCGCCCCAGCACCACCAGTGCTCTCCGCTCTCCCCATTCCCCGCGCCCCAGGCCCTCCAGCGTTCGCCAGTCTGCCAGGCTTTTTCACCCCCGCGTCCCCTTCCGCGCCTGCGCCTGCTTCCCGCGCCCCGGCGCTCCCAGCAGCACTTGCGGAAGGGACAGAGGAAGAGGAGGAGAAGCGGGAGCGGGAGCCAGTGGGGGTTCTAGGACTGCTCACCGCACCTTCAGCACCAGCAGCACTGAGCTCTGACGCTCTCTTGCTGCTGCTGCGCCGCTTCGTAGGCGTACCCACCTCACTCCCCTTGCTATTATCCCCAGAAGGTATCCGCACAACTGGTGCTTTCTTCACGCCACTCACACTGCTAGCACCGGCTGCAGCTGTCCCCGCCCCCCCAGCCCCCCCCCCACTCCCTGCAACTCCACCTGTGGTGCTGCTGCTAGAGCGTTTGCCGCTGCTCGCTGCCTCGCCTTCCCTACTTTCAGATGCAGTACTCTCCCCGCCGTCCTCCCCTTTCCCCTCCCCCTCCGTTGCCTTCCGCTCCTTGTCCCTACTTCCCGCACTCCTCCCTTTCTCCTCCTTCTCCTTCACTCGCCTCTCCTTATCCCTGTTCACTCTCGCCGCATCTTTCTCTTTCTCTTTGCCATCCCCTACTCCAGAAGCTGCCCCAGCTGTCGTCGCAGCTGCAGCGGTGCTGCTAGACCCACTGCTGCCACTACCATCAGCAGCAGCCCTGCTCGCAGCTCCATCCGGTTTATCCCTCCCTGGCACTCTCTCTCTCCTCTGCTGGGACGGCGACGCAGCAGCAGCAGCAGCACCACCACCACCGCTAACACTCCCACTCCTATTGACTGTGGCGCTGCCGGGCCTATCACCCCCCGGTCGTCTGGCCTTGCCTGCTAAGCCTGTCCCACCAGCAGCAGATGCACCACCAGATGCACCAGCATCGCCACTCGTCGCCCCTTTCGCTCCTCCCTCTTTTCCCCCAGCGGCACTGCCAGCCGCGGCACCAGCCGCAGCTGCACCTGAGGCACCAGCAGCAGCAGCGGCGGCAGCGGAACCCTCCTTCCCTGCACCACCGGAAGCCCCTTTCTCCTTGTGCTGGTGGTGGTGGGAGGAACTACTGCTGCTGCCAGCGTGCCGGGAAGAAGTAAGGTCCGGGTTAGCGAGCGTCATGGTACCCACAAGGTCTTTGTTCTCGCCTGCGCCATGCAGCTGCAACTCCAGGTCTACCTTCTGCCCTAACAAAGCAGCCTTGCGGTCCGTTGTCTTGCACAGACGGAACCTGCGCGAGAGGAGGGTGAGGATGGGGGAAGAGGTGGGACGGGATACAATATAGGGGCCTAAAAGACAGGATTTTTCGACGACAAGGCTCCTGCAGTAATGAAGGGGAAAGATGAAGCTGGCAAGAATAGAGGGCCTCTCAGAATACTGTTGGAAATTTCCATTCCACCAGCCTTCATGTTCTAAGAGAATAAAGCTGGGTGAGGGCCCTGATTCGCGGATGGAGCACACGGGCACTAGTCTACGCCACCGAACAATCGAGAAACATCAATTCCGTACATTGTAACATATGAAACTGGCGGAAAAAGAGGGCCGGCGTTCAAGTCAGCACTTACCTAAGCACCACTCTTCTCGCCTCCTGACTGGCGAGTCCGCCAATGGCCTTAGACCATTCCACGAGCGTGAGCCCATCCGCCAGGTCGCAGATCGTTCGCTCCCTCAGCTCCGCCTTGCTGTATCCAAGCGCCGTGATTCCCCCCTCGCTCACGTGCAAGATCTTAGCCGTCCATGGGTCCATCACCAGCATCACGCCCGTCGATCGCCGCACCATGCTCACAGCCGCTGATCTCTTCACCGCCCCCGATCTTCCGGACGACTTGCTGGCTACCGACGCGTCGCTGCTGTAACCCGCCGCCGCCGCCGCTTCCGCCGATGCTGTCGATGCCGCCGCCGTCGCTACTGCTCCTGCTGCTGCTGCAGCACCTGCTGGTGGGTGTGGGTGAGGTGCTCCGGAGGGGATTCCTGATCCGCTTCTGTGTCGCCCACTGCTGCTACCACCACTGGCGTTCGTCGCCGTGCCGATGCCGCTTGAACTACCACCCTTTTTAGACAGCATTCTCGTGAAAGTCTTAGGCTTTTTACTCTCCCCGCCACCTTTGCTACTCCCGCTAGGAGTGGGCGGCTCGGAAGCATTGTCTGACTTAACCCCTGCCGCACCGCCACCGTCCCCAGCCGTTGATCTGACTGTGGAGCCTTCTCCGCCCTCCGATTCCTCACTGGAAACTGTCGACCTAGCGGAATGCTGTCGGTTGATAGCTCCACCCGCGCCACCACCGCCGCCGCCGACGCTTCCGCTATGCTTCCGCGCCGTACCTGTCCCCCCAGCGCCATCGGGTGGCTTGCGCGGCGCTGGTCTCGACTGTCCGCCGGAAGGCCCCGGAGGAGCGCCCTGACCTGTCGAGGCCATGCGGGATTTCTCACGGTATGATGAGCTGACGCGCGATTACTAGACACTCTATAACGCGGACGAAGCGGCGTGCGCTATAGATGGTACTGCTGCCGATGATGCTGCTGGTGATGCGTGTGGGAATCTCAGTAGTTGACAAACGACGGGCTGAGAGCTTCGGCGTCGCTCTATTGCACATGCTGAGGCCCCAGACCTACAGGAAGCGAAAGGTATGCATTTAGAACGACTGCAAACTACTGAATTTATTAGGAGAGTTATAGGAGGAATTATAATATTTAAATACACGTGGCGAAGGAGAGAGCGCAATGCACTAACACATTAATAATAACAGTGGTGAAACTGACAGGCTCAGAGCACACGGACAAGCTGAGATGCAGACAATAATGTGCCCGTCCATAATTTCACTGCGGAACAAAGGACTAGCTAACATGAAAGGAAGCTAGTTGGCTGGAGACAACCCTACTATTATCATGTTAGCGCACCCTGAACTCCTTTCTGTGCGGTAGGTGAGTGCATTCCCAGCAAGTAGCGGCGGTCCATACGGGCAGACAAATCGAGGAAGGAGAAATCGAGGTCGAGCGAGGAAGGCGGTGAGAGGGTAAAGCCGTACACCCTAGAAGTTACCGCTTTGGCGTGGCATGGGTTGGGATTGCTGCTTGTGGCACACTCCGCATCTCTCTTCCCCTCACCTCTCCTCCCCTCCCTGCCATATCTCGATCGATTCGACGTGCTTCGGAACCCCGCCGTGCGAGGGCCGCGGCTTGATTGGCCATGCAGACGCAATCAACGGATAATGTTTATAATCGAGCCTCGAACTTCATCCAGACCTGTTTTGGACGAGGTACGGCACGGGTTTGTGTGGCTTCAGCCATCTAGCCGAGCCTCACAGGGCTTCATAACAAATCACTTCGTAGCATTCAACGTGCTTGTGTGCAGGCATGGATTTGAGAGAACTACTGTAGAGCTCTGTTCGGTGATTCATTCTTGGGTAAGTAGCTTTGGCAGGGGTACTACTAGCGACCCTGCGCTTTGAAGGGGACTACAGTGCCAGTAGCGGGCACTTTCCACCCCTCCGTGCCTCAGACAGGGAAGTTATAGAAACAAGACAGTAATCTTCCCCACATTCACCCACGTGTCACCAATTCGCATGCCACGTACTGTACTGGACATTCTGACCAACTATGCGCAACAGACTTATGTCCCTTCTGCCAAATCGAAACCAATCTGACCGCGGGCAAAAAAATATAAACCCCAATCGGACTGCATGCCATTCGGGAGCCTCAACCCTGAAATTTTGGGGTTGATGCCTCCCGAATTGCATGCCTTCCATGTGGGGTTTATTTTTTTAGTTCCCCGTTGACTCATTGCACTGCCTGCTGACGCAGGCCTGTGTTCCGATATTTTGAGTGCGAAACAGTAGCCTATCAGATTTCGGAACAGTGTGTTGTGAGAATTGAAACGAGAATGGATGAACTATGAAATGAAGTGAGTACAAATATGAAACCCTAATTGGTTATACCCCCTATGGGATACCCCACTATAGCCTACACAACAGCATAAGCTATAATGTTCTAACACACCCCCATAGGCAAAGTGGGGGAGAACACGGGGTCACAGGACCAGTCAAGTAAAGCAAAGCAAAGCAATCTCAGGGTGGATCACAAAGTCACCACACAGTCCGAGCACAGGGTCAAGGCCACACGGCCAGTTCACATGCAAGAGTATACACATATATATAAAGCTAGACAAGCAAGAGCAGGTATATATATGTGTGAGAGTACAAGCAAGGTCAAGAGGAGAGCAAGTGAGGCAAGACGGGCACAAGACCCAGCTGAGTGCAGAAGCGCTGATGATCACAAGGCGGAAGTGCCTTGGTGAAGACATCAGCAGTGTTGGCCTCAGAGGCCACGTACGCCAGCCGCAACTGTCCACGCTGCTGTAGCTCACGAGCAAGGAAGTAGCGGAGAGCAATATGCTTTGTTTTGTGCTCCAGTCGCTGCTCTCAACACAAGGCCAGCATGGCCTTGTTGTCTACGTACAGGACTGGAGGAGAACGAGGCGGCTCTCCAAGGTCGGTGAGCAGGTAGGTGAGCCAGCGAAGCTCCTGTGCAGCCATGGCCCCGGCGTAGATCTCAGCCTCACAACTGGAGCCAAGAACAGAAGACGAGCGAGTAGCCCGCCACGAAACAGAGCCGGAACCAAGGCTGAAGGTGTAACCCTGTGACGACCGCTGCGTAGCCTGGTCGTCAGCCCAAGAAGCGTCCGCGTGCCCAGTGAGGACCACTGGACTCCGCCCTCCAAGCACTAGCCCCATGCCCGACGTACTGCACAGGTAGCGCAACACCCTCTTCGCTGCAGCCATGTGCCCTGGTCGGTGTCTCCCAGGAGCAACATAGCGTGCGAGAATGCTAAGAGGGTATGCAAGGTCAGGTCGTGTGCAGGTCATCAGGTACATGAGGCAGCCAACAAGCTCTGGGTACGGGCCACTCGACTCTACGGACTCATCCGAAGGCAGAGCTGAGAGCGAGTGGCGAGTAGACAGAGGAGTGGCCTGAGGCGAGGAGTACGTGAAGCCGAAGCGCTGAAGGACCTGTTGCACCATGTGTGACTGAGTCAGGGTAATGGTGCGGCAAGCTCTGTCTCGGGTGATCTGCAAGCCAAGGTAGCTGCGCAGTTCACCCAGGTCTGTGCACGTGTGTCTCTTCTGCAGTTCGGACTTCACGTAGGCGAGTCCAGCAGTGTCAGCTGTGGCAAAGACCAAGTCGTCGACGTACACGAGGATGTAGAAAGGCGGCAGAGAGGTGTCGGTGCGCAGAAACAACGACGGGTCGGCAGTAGAAGGAGCAAACCCAAGAGCCGCAAGCGTAGTCCTCAGTGTGTCGTGCCACTCACGTGGCGCCTGGCGGAGACCGTAGACTGGACGCCGGAGACTCCACTGGGTACCAAGAGGGAAAGACCCTGTGAAGCCAGGTGGGCGACGCAGCCAAATCTCCTCGTGCAGGCTGCCCTGCAAGAAAGCTGTGCTGAAGTCAAGAGAGTGTAGCTTGCAGTCACGGTGAGCAGCAACGTGCAGCAGTACCCGAAGAGTGGTCATCTTCGGGGTGGGGGAGAAGGTCTGAAAGTAGTCAACTCCCTGCCGCTGACTGAAGCCTCGAGCCACGTAACGCGCCTTGAAGACAGGCGGAGAACCCGGCGGCCGCTTCACCCTGAAAATCCACATGCCACTGACGATGTTCGCCCCAGGAGGGGGGACAGCGTCAACGTAGGTGCCTGTGGACTTCCAGGAAGCCATCTCTGCATCCATAGCTGCCTGCCACTGAGAGGAGTAGGGACCCTCTATCGCCTCCGCGTAAGAGCGCGGAGTCGGGATGTCAAGTGCATCCGGGTCTCCCTCAGGGGTAAGCAGTACGGACACGAGATGAGGTGAAGCAGCTGCCAGACACTGGAACTCCTCCTGCCTGTCCTCAAGGACGTCCGTGCCAAGGGCACACTCACCCCCGACGGACGGAGGACAGACAGACTCAGACTCAGCGACAAGACTAGCAGCGTAGTCTAAGCGACAGCGAGCAGCAAAGTCGACGAGCTCAGTAACGAGAGCAGACGCAGCAGTAGACTCGAAAGAAGGGTCAGTGACAACAGTAGCAAGGAGACGCGTGACAGTAGGACTGGCAGCACGAAGAGAGTCTGACACCGGGTCGGCAAGAGCAGGAAAGAGGACTCAGGAGGAGAAGGCAAAGGGGCACGCAGAGGAGCAGTGGACGGACGCAGAGACATCCGGTGCGTGCCAGAGACAGGAGGAGGACGCTGACGCGAACCGCGACCACTAGTGCGAGTAGCTCGGACACGCGACGCAGGGCGAGACGCAGGCTCACGACGCTCAGCCAGACCTCCAGTAGGACCAGTGTAGGGAGAAGGAGCAGGCAAACGGGAGGTAGGCTGCAACTGTAGCTGGGACGGGATAGGCTATGGACACTCTAAGGGAGGAGGAGGACCAGTAGAAGGTGGAAGACCAAGAACCTGCTGCAGGAGTGGAACGAAGTACGGTCGGGGCCGCGTGGCGACGCCAGAAGCAGCAGGGACAGCACCAGAACCCTCAGCAGGACCAGCTCCAGTCGACCCCGCAGGTCTAGCAGCTCCAGTGCTCCCCGTACGAGCACCTCCGGGACCCACGACAGCAGCACCCTCAGTAGCCGACGAAACTCCAGCACCAGCAGTACGGCTCCAGCGCCGGGCAAACCACTCGCGCAGCTCCTGTGGAGAGAGTGGCTCCCGGCGAGACGTAGCACCCGGAGAAACTCCAGGCGGAGCACCTCCAGTAGGATCACCCGCTCCAGCAGCACCTCCAGGAGCTCCAGAACCTCCAG